ATATATCAATACTTTGAATTTCAAGAATTTTTTAAATTAAAAAAAAAAAAGAAATTTTTAAGATTAAATTTACAAGAAACACCAAATTCTGAAAGTCTTGAAATTCAAAGTTAAGATAGTCAAACTAGCTAAGTGTTCTGTAATTAGTGTCAATTTTGTATGTTTCTAATACTAAATGTGATGACTTGTTATCACACTAACTTTTGTTTTTAATGTAAATGGTTTAATATAATGATCTGTGTCTAAAGAGACTTAGATTAATAGCTGCCAAACAGAGTTAGAGGCCTGATGCTATGAGGTTCTCAATGCCTTCTGTACTTTGAAGGATTGGGACCTTAAGAACAAGTGGGGAAAAATTGCCTTCAGCATTCTATTTATCTAATGAGGAATTGGTAAAATTATTTTGTGTGTTGTGTATAACACTTAAGGTGATAAAGTGGCACAACCACTGTGGGCTGGATTGTAACTGTACAATCTGGCCTGAGAAAGAGACAGTGTGTAGTTGCACTGCCCCAGGAGCAAAGCAGGAATGGGGACCCAGATCAACGAAGGGACTTAGGCACCTAAACCCCAGATTTAGGTGCCACTGCAATCCATAAAACCCTAGCTCAGCTGCTACCTAACTCCGTAGGTGCCTAAACTCACTCAGTGCCTAAATTTTGGCTGTAAAAGCTTCCTGGGCATCTAAGAGGCTGGGCATGTGCCCTGTTGCTTCAGGCAGGCACTCAGGCATCTATCTCATAAGCCACAGCGCAAACATCAAAGCAGGTGAAGACAGGTATTGCCCTGCTTATCTGGCCTGTGGGGCTCAGTCTAATAGGCCTTGCTCTGATCATTCCGCATAAAATAGGTGGGGATGGGTGGGATGGGGTGAGGAGGCCTCCCTTATAATGTTTAGACCAGCGGTTGGGAAAGTCACCTGGAAGTGGGTTTAATTTTAGTTTAATTTCAGTTTAATTCCCCCCTTTGCCTGTTGAGAGAGATCTACCTCAGAATACTTCTCCTCAATCTCTTTATTGAAGCACTTCCACTTTGTAGAATTAGATATTAATTCGATCAAAGAGTGAGTGAACGGCTCTATAGTGCAGTGCTTAAGGCACTTACCTGAGAGGTGGGAAATCCTATTCAAATCCCTTCTCATCAGGCAGAGAGGGGGAACTGAATCATGATCTCCCACTGGGCTAAACATTTTAAGGGAGTACTCCTCCTTCCCCTGATGGTTTTGTGTGGACTTAAGTGTTTGCTGCTCCCTATCTCGGAAGAAACGGCTTAGGTGCCTGACTCGAGAGGGGTTCCCAGCTGTGGATTGCAAGCAGAGAGAGATGCCTTCCTGCAGCGCAGACTGAGGCACCTAACTCCAGGAGAAGGACAGGATTTAGGGACACATACCTCTTGTTGGCATTTTCCATGGGCTATCTTAGGTGGCTCTCTACCTACCATGCTGGCTTTTGTGGATCCCGTTCTCTGGCACCTTTCTACCGGTATTGTATAGCCTAGGCAACTAATCCAGGGTTTATGGAGTCTAGTTATGTTTTCCAGTGCAGACCAATGCAATATCTAAGTCTATTTGTGGATCCGGGTGCAGACCATTACTTGGAGAGCAGGCTCCCCCTTTCCCCCACGGGAGAATTAATTTGCATCAGCACTTTTGTTTGTACAGTATATACCCTGGTCTGTGCTAGCTCTGCTGTGCTGGGTGGCTGACAGATTTGGGTGTGCAGAGCCAAGGCTTTGCCCAGGGCTGGCCCACAACATTTTGGCACCTGAGACGGGGAGCTCAAATGATGCCCCCTGCCCCCTCGCTTGGGCCAAAACTTTGAAAGGTCTCAATTCTGCCTTCTTCCTGTTCTACTCCTCTCATGGTACTGCTCTGCTACCTACCCCAATAAAGGAGAACTAACAACTTAAAATGCCTTATTCAAAAATTTTAAGTAACACAACTTTCAAACACCTGAACAGCAAATGTAACTTTTCTTGTCTGCATAGTAAACACTGGCATTTTTATCTGTTTGAATAATCAAAGTGGTGCTTTCCATTCCTTCTTGGTTGCAAAGATTTGAACTGCTTCCTGAAGGTCCACAGTCTGGGCCAGCTCTTGCTCTGAGATGGTTACAAGGCCAACCAGCCTCTCCTGTGTCATTGTGGAGTGTAGATGTGTTTTTATTAACTTCAGCTTGGAAAAGCTGCGTTCTCCACTGGCAACTGTTACAGGAAGTGTTAGAAGTATGCACAGAGCAACAAAAGCATTTGGAAAAAGGGTGGTTATCTTATTTGTGCACATACATTCCAGAACAGCCTTTGGAGTTGAAATGTATCTTGAAAGGGCTTTCAGTTCATCACCTAAATCACTCGCATCAATATCGTGCATGTCATCATGTGTCAACACTGTCTCTAGTGCCCTGCATTGCTGGTGTAGGTCTTCTTCAGATGTAGTGAGGAGTTTTGGAATATCATACAACATCCCAAATATACTGCTGTGTTCCTTGAGCTGCATGAAACGTTCTTCAACTGACTGTATTGCACAATCTAGCACTTGGTTAAAGAATTCAACTTTGAATTGTTGTTTGGGGTCTCTTATGGGATTATCCCTTGCCTCGTAATCAAAATGTCATCTTCGGTGACATTCTTGAATGGGTGGGAAAATACCTTCAGTGTGAAGTTCCTCTGCCAAGTTCTCTGCACTCTTCAGAACATTTTGAAATCCCTCATCTGACCGGTAAGACTGTAGGTATGACTTTGCTTTGTCCAATTGTTTCATTGCTCCAGATATATCAAGGTCAACATCTTTGAGTCTCTTGCTTACAACATTTATTTCAAACAGTATGTCATGCCACAACACTAAGCCACACAGAAATTTGAAGTTATGTATGTTTCTGGTGATTCCATTTCCCTCTGCCACTGTTCTCCCATGAACAGTTCCTGTCATAGCATTATCCTCCATAATGGCAACTATGGCATCATCTATCTTCCCAATTTGGTGTCTGATAGGCTTTATCGCCTCCAATCGACTTTCCCATCACGTGGCACTCAGTGGATTGGTGTTGGAGCAGAGAGCAGTTTGGAGGGAAGCAGAGGAGAATTTGGAGAAGTGCTGTGGGGGGGCTAAGAAGACCAAGACCCTAGGTAAAGGGATGCCTGGTTTGTGCAGAGGGAGGGCAGGAAACCCCACAAGCTGAAGGACAGGAGAGGGAAGTAGTCCAGGGGAAGGAACTGCTAGTTCAAGAGGTTTACCACTATCCCTAGGGCCCCTGGGCTGGGACCCGGAGTAGAGGGTGGGCCCAGGTCCCTCCCTCTCCACTCCCCTCCTCTAGGACACTAGTGAGGCAGTTCAGGGGTGAGAAACGGTGCCCTGAACCCTCCCCAAGAAGAGAAAGCGTGAGACCCATCAAAGTAGTGCCAGCAATTTGCCACAGTACATTTCTTGGGTGGTGACTCTTCTTAGATGCTCCTGGAGTACAGCGTCAAACTCTGACATCAGCTCCACAATTTTAAGAAAGTTTCCACTTTTTGGCACATACAGCTGATCTGAAGTGCCACGCAGTGCTAGGTTTTGGGTAGCAAGCATTCTCACCATGGCAATGAGCCTTTTCAGAACATTTTGCCAGTAAAGAGATTCTAATGCAGTCTTCTCTTGATGCTGATCATCTATGGTGGCCTTTAACCTTAGTCTCATCTCAAGCTCTTTCCACCTATGGAATGCTCTCTGGTGATTTTCTGCCTTCTCATGGCATACCAGATTTCTAGTCAGATTTTTCTAGTCCTTTGTTCCGGTAGAACCCAATGTGGCTGGAACATCAGACTGGAAGAATTTGCAACAAAAACAGTATGCAGCATTCTGGGTTTTTGAGTACATGAGCCATGGCCTCTCCACTTTGTCACCATTGGGGATTTCACGCCAGTAATGTGTTGGATGGAAACGTCTATTTTCATTGTCTTTGGGGAACATGAAGTTTTTCACTTGCTGTGGCCCATGCAGTACAAGGAAGTCCCTCAGGCTACTGCTCAAGTGGGTCCACAGTCCTGGATCATCTAGACTTAAGGAACTAAACTCAGCAGCAGCTGTTCCTTGCGACTCCACCACACTCTTCTCTTATCTACACTGTTTTCAGGAATGTGCATGGTTACATCCATTTGAGATGGAAATATGGATGCTGCAGTAGCTGCCAGGTCTCGTCCACTCTGACTAACCGGAAGATCATGCATCTCCTCACCACTCTCATCCTCACTGAGGCCGGAAGTCTCACCGTGAACATTTGTGTCTATGTATCTCAGGACTGCTCCTTCCTGCTTAGATAGAAAAGCTTACTTTGCTTGCTTGCTTTTTCTGAATGCTGCCCCAGAGGGGTGTTTTCCTCTTTCAGTCATGACTGCTGTTCTGTGCCAGCTATAGTGGCTCTCAACACTCAATTGAAGGGGACAAATAAGCAGGCTGGTAGTAGGGCCTGAGTGAGGGAAGATATCAGCGTGTTAAAGGCCTAACTGGCTCCTACTACTTCAGTTGACTGCCTGTTCTCCTCAAGTGGGTTCAGGGAAGCAGCAGGAAAGAGGAAGCTCCCTGAGAAGCTGGTGTTAATCAGTCCAAGCTCCTCGGGGTGCTAGAGAGGTACATAAAAGGCCCCTCCTCCTCTCTCCCTGCAGCTCCAGAAGTACTCTACAAAATTTCTTCTCCATAAATCACCTATTATAGTTTTAACATCGTTGAATAGTTATTGAATTTTCTTCCAGCATATCCTTGCATCTAAAGTAGCCACAAAGTCAGTATATTAATGTGTGTTTAAGGTTCCTAATATATTATTCCAGTTTACATGTAATTTCTGCACACCAGTTGAAGTGAAATTGGCCAGACCTGCTTTTCATCTACACAGGTATAGGAAAGAATGACTTTAGCCAGGAGGATAAAACAGAGCCTGAAAGTTTCATTTAGAGGTACGGTGATGAAATGGGGGTTAATAGTGAGCCATAGATTTTACAACTCCAAGATATACCTTTGAGCATAGTAGTATATACAATAATTTATCTTTATTCTCAAAAAAACCCTGACATTTCAAAGATCTTGGACTACACAAATTCCAGAAATGTATCCAGATGACACAGGCACAGATCTTAAAACAAACATGCATGCTTTTGTGTGCACCATGATATACATGCAATACATATAGTGTATATGCAAGTTGAGTTTGCAAGCATGCAAAGATATGTGTAAGCAGAAATCTGTGACTTGCACACGATGGGTATTTTTGCATGGGCACTTTTGCTCAAGTTCTTTTCAGAATTTTTCCAGACTCTCTCTGAGACAATAGTAATACAACCTGTTTAAAAGCATGAGTTTCAAGCTCCTCAGCCTTCAACTATGTTTACAACTGATGCAGATGAGCTGGAGAGCAGACCTAAAAGAACCCTTGATGTCCTTACAAGTCCAGGCTCCATGTGAACTGGGGAGGTCAATCCTAAATATCTTCTCATCAAGAACACATGAAAGCCTGCATTCTTCAGAATATTTTATCTCAATTGGAATGTGCTCAATTAACTTTATAAATCAGGCAGGAGTCACTGCACCGAACACTGAAATGCAGCTACCTGCAGTATTAAATCTACAAAGGAATTTTAGGTAGGCAGAATGTATTTGTCTTACACTATCACAGGTGAGATACATGATCTAATGGTCCTTTCTGGCCTTCAAGTCTGTGAATTGTAGAAATACCAAAGCAATAAACACCTGACATATTTGAAACATGATATTCTCACAGATAGCTCAAGTTGTCAACTTTGCACGTTTTGCCTGTTTGGCTACTGCAAAAAACTCAAACTTTTATTTTGAAGCTGTTTTTCTGGGATGATTTTGTTTTAAGCCAGAAAAATTGGTCTTCCCTTCAACATTGCTCAAAACCTCCTGTAGGCTATTTACTACAGGGAAATTGACCTCCTCTCTAAGGGAAATTCTTTATCATTAAGTAAGAGCATCCATATTTCCTCAGGTACGTCAGCTGCCTCTATCCGGCCACACAGATAAAACAGTGTTAGTAGCCACATTTAAATGTAATTGATCCACTTTTATTAAAATAAATTGCAGTGACAAAAGGTTTTCTCAACCATTAGACTCAATCTTCAACAATCATTAAGTTGGAGCAAAAACTCAAACATTGATGCGGGGGGGGGAGGGAAGAGAAAGAGGGAACTGAATAGCCAAAGAATAGCACAGGTCAGACAGTCTCCTATGCTCCCACTAAACGCTGGCGAACCCGCAGCTTCAAAGAGGGAGAGTAGCTGTCTATTGCTTCTCTGGAATCTCTCTCAAAGCAAGACATGAAGGATACTTAACTTAGTGATGAGATCATATGGAACTGACCCAATATGTATAAAGTCCTTTTTCACTTACATTCTGTGTTAAGTGGGATCACATGTAGATATTTCCTTTTCTTGTCAGTCTAGGATTTGTGTATGCTGAGGTAGTTTCACTGTAACTCCCCTGTCGCTTTTCATCTTTGAGCATCTCTTAGCAGTGTTATTTGTTCATATTTTTATAAAGCACATCCAGTATTCTGTGCACAGTTCAATTTTAAAAAAGATTTTAAGGAGTCCCAAATAACACTGACATGTTTAAAGGACTAGAGAGGGCTATTGGTGCATTGTTCCAAATGCTTTGCATTGCCACCTAAAAAGTCTGCAAGCCTTAAGCATTTTTTTTCCTGCTTACTCCTGCAAAATCTAAACCAAGATAGGATAAATGAGTAAGTCTTCTACATATAGTTTTGTAACATTACAGAGAGTAATTGTTTAGTCTTTTAGAGATAAATTCTCTGGTCCAGGTAGGAGCAGAGTACGGCCTTGAACATACTGGTATCAGTATAGTTCCAACGCAGAAGTTTGGGACGTTGATGTAGAAAGCCAGCAATGGAAGTCTGCAGCCCCTATACCTTGCAGAGAACAGCTCTGCAGGGGTTTCCTCAACCTCAGTATGGAGAAGGTTTTGGTGGCAGTGGTATGCCTTGTGGATCTGCAACAACTCTGGATTGCCAGGCAACCCCCCGATGCAGAGTGAGGTACTACAGCCACTGGAAGAACTGGGGCAATTGTGGAAAGGTTCTGTACTCTGCCAATGAAACAGGTTTCTCTTTCCTGATTCTTCCACTTACTTCAACTGTTCACTTGGAGCAGGATTTCCCCTTTAATCTCAGAGAGCCCAATCCTTCAGTTGCTTTGTATGCAGAACTCCCACTGAACTCAGTGAGCTTTGTATGCAGATAAACTGCAGGATTGGACCCTAAAGAAAGTAATGTATACACACAGGATTCTTGCCTGTAATTGTAATTCTCTGAATGTGGTATCCTTTGTGAATTTATGCTGATCATCTCACCTCTCCTTCAGAATTGTAATAATGTTGCAATAAAGGACTGACCATTATGCTCTCTAATTCACACATGAAGCACCTGTAACAAGGATTTATTAACCAAATTCTAGACTGATGTCACACGTCTTAGTTCCGTGACCAAAAGTAGTGAACTAGAGTGTGATATGGGTAAGCCACAATCCTTTCTTTTATTAAAAACTGAGATTTTTGAAATGTGTGTGTATTTTAAGATATAAAAAGAATGGCTGGGATTTTTTAAAAATAGCTCATTACTGGCCTAATTCTCCTCCCATTGATGTCAACGGGACTTTTGCCACCTTACACATATGTTTGTGGTGGTGGTGCTATAAAGTGCATGTCTGTAAGTTTTAGATGTTATTAGTGAGTGGTAGAACTGTAGGTGAACCATACAAATCTTTCTTTAAAAGTGGCCATAAAACTCTAACACCCATAGTGTCATATTTTGAAAGAGTAAGAGAATGCAAACCTTGTTTAAGCTTTATTTTTTATTGTAAATCAGTTCCATCTGGTAAGCTTTAAAGTAATCTTTTCTGTATGACTTATAACCCAGTAGATAAAGATTGCTAAATTGTCTTGTTTGCAAAAATAAAAAAAGGGCATCTGGTCATAAGAAGTCCACATTTATTTTTAATGTTGTTGAATGCTGATGGATACATGCTGAGTGGCTTCTGTGTTTGCTAGGCTCTTTGCAATAAGTTATCTGTAAGGCCCATTTTCTGTATGTTGATGCCAGCATAAGACCTTTTCAGCAGTGGAACGTTAACATCCTCTGAAATGGTCTTGAATCTCTTTTTTTATATATGTATTTTAGAGTATCATGGATTCACAGTGCAAGTGGTACACCACAACTAATATATATATTTTTTAAACTGCTTGGTTAAGTAGGACCTTTTCAAACTGACATTAGCCTAAATATTACCTAACTCTGACCTGATTAGACCATGCTGTCAGAATCCAAGGTGTATTTTATACCCGATTTGCCTGCAGACCTCCAAGGAAGGTGCTGTAAGGTGGGGTAAGTAAAAATTGCAAACCAGAAAAATCAACTATAAGGCCAAGGGGCCTTTGCTCCTTTTAGGTCAACATGCTATCTGAAGGAAGACTGATGTTCCAGAACTCCAAGATTTCACCTCTGAGGAAGGAAATCACATCACCAAATAACAGGCTATACCAGCCTTTGACAAATCTTCCTGTACCTGAAAGTCTGCTGGTACTGTCTCAGCAACATTATCCTCTGGCTTCTCATCTGCAATTCTAGTTTCTATGTCAGAAAAATTCAGAAGATTGTGAGATCTTAAGAGTTCACATACCCCATTCTCTTAAGTATCTAATTTTTCCCCTTTTGTTTTTATTTGCTGGGAAACGTCCCATCCTTTTATTTTTTTAATTTTAGGAAGCGGCACTGTGGTTGTGTACATGAGCATCTGTAAAATCCACACAGAGAAGGCACAAGAAAAAAAGCTCATCAGGTTTAAACAACTCTAAACTCTGCCTCATAGAAATACTTGTGTTCTGTATTCTGTGTACTAAGAATCTTAAAATTGCCGGTTGTAAACTGTTAATCAGAAGTTTGACAACTCCTATTTATCAGAATGTTCTATTAAGGCCTGTTATTATCTGTGTTGGAGGGGGGAAGGAAGGGGTTATCCACCACATAAGAATTGAAATATAAATTTTAATTGGGTTTGAGATTGTGGTGTATACATTAATCACTTGGTTTCAGTATAAAATATTCATCCAAGTCTAAATTCATATTTCATTACCTCTGGTATAACTCTTTAGTTGGGGGTTTATAACTAAACAGACAGCTAACCTCCTTAGAATACTTCTTAGGACTTATGAGGTTTGATTAGTAGTTGTATCAATCTAATGATTTAACTAATCTGATAATTTGATTTTAATCCAATATTACTAATTTATTTATTTGATCTTGATTTGATAACAGTATTGCTTAGTTTATTTTAGTAATATTGATGGGAGTTTAGTTTTATTGATATACTTCCTTGATTTTATTTTTTTGTTAAATTTACAAAGACGTAAAAAAGGATACTGAATCATATTTCTTTCAGTAAGTGACATGGGCCAGAAGCATTGAGAATTCATATAGATATCAGCACGTCCACCTAGGAGTCTAACGAGCACCCTCTTAATTATCCTTTGAGTTTACATTTTTTTTTAAATTCTCACAACAGTTAATACGCAGCTTTAGTTAGAGAATCTCAAACTACTTCGCAAACAGTAGTTAAGTCTTTCAACATCTCTGCGAGATTATTATAATATTGACTTTTATAGACAAACTGAGGTACTAAATTAGTAATTAAGAAGTATTTGTAACTTTTTCTGATACTGGGATTTTAAAAATGTTTATATGCCTAGATATAAAGATATTAACTTCAAAGAGGCTACTCATGTGCTTAAAGCTAATCATATATGTGTTTATAGGCCAAAAATCTAATATATTTATCAATGCATATTAGTTAGAACTCAAATGAGTTTGATTTTTGTGAATTCATAAGAAATGCTGAAAATATATTTTAAAAAAAAAATACCCGGGGCCTTCATGTTATTAGTCCAAGGAAAAACCGAAGTGCTTTAATGATCATGAATTCCTAAATTGTTAATATTTTATTTACAGTTTGGAGATAAATGGAGGACCACCTGCAGTTCCAACCTATACTAAAGGTATATAATGTATTTAACTTACTTTGAAGTTCACAGATGAATTAATTAATTAGCTGTCAACACATCCCAAGAACAGGGATCTGCAGAAACACTCTGCAAAAGACAATTAATTTTATTCGTAGTCATACATTTAACTTATTTTAGAAATTACCTCCATAATGAAGCTACATGTACTATATGCCATTTCCTAACTTTGAAACTGTGGGCAGATGACTTTAGTTAGAATTCTCAATTTTTTTAATTTAGCTAATTAGTTAGTATTGGTAAATGTAAGGAACCTATAAAAGTTTCTGAGTAGCAGCCGTGTTAGTCTATAGCTATAAAAAGAAAAAGAGTACTTGTGGCACCTTAGAGTTTCCGTTACAAATGTAAAATAGTTACTGTTTGTCATAGGTGGCCTCAACTTAACTTTGTGGTCTTCTCTTTTTTAAAAAGCCACAAATATGCTAGGTCACAATGTTCAAGGACATTCACTCAATATTCTGTGATGATATAAATGTAAAACAAATTACACTGTTTTTATTTTGCAGAGAGATCACGAAGTAGTAGTAGTGGTAGAAGACAACTGAAAGCTAAATTTCATCCAAAGGACTCTCTTCTTTTAATGCCTACATCAGCTCACTTAATGGGAAAACTCAGAACTACAGACAAACCCCATAGCCGGACCATGGGACTTCATTCATTTGCACATGCAACTTCAGACATCACAAAAGTTTCAAGACCCAGAATTTTTAATGTCAGCAAGCTCCGGCTTAATTCACCAGGAAAGAAAGCTTGAGTCCAGTGCCAACAAGGTAGCAGATAAGTATTTGTATCCATGCAACATCCTGTAGGTTTGGGAATAGTCTTTCAAAACAGAATTTCATGATGTCTGTTGCTAATACACAGATGCCTAATTTTGGAAATCTGAACTCTTTTCAAAAGAGAGTTGTGTGTGGGATGGAAGGAGGCGGTCTGTCTGTGAAGAAATAAATTTGCTGCAGTAGTAAAGAATAAATGCATTGAAAATACATTTCAAAATCATCACAGGCATCAATTAAGGCTATTGTGTGCAGGTTGTTTTATATTTGGGTGAATTTAAGCTTCTATTTCTAATCATACAATGCCTTCTGTTACTAGATACAAGAGCTGCAAAATAGCTGCTACACATACTTGCATCTTCTATCTTCAGATAAGCACTCTCAGACTAATCTATCTCCACTCTTATGGGTAAATTTTTAAAATGTTGTGCAGAGTTTTAAGATCAATGGATTCATGTAACCAAAATGTTGAAGTGCTATGAAAATTTGCCTCTATAAAATAGGGCTTTGGAGCGGAGCCCGGAGCTGGAGCGCAGAGCAGCTCCAGAGCAGTGGAGCTGCAGGTTTTTGCCTGAAGCTGGAGCAGAGCTCCAAAGCCCTGCTATAAAATGTTGTTCTGTGTTACAAAAGGATATTTGAGTATATAGTTAATAATAATTAAGGCTGATACTTTTCACTTATCTTGAGATCTTTAACTGAGTGCTTTCCAAAGGTAATTATTGCACTATTAAATTATTCCTATTTTACACATGGGAAAAATAAGGCATATAAGTCTAAGGTCATGCAAGGAGTCAGTGGTATATCAGACTAGAATAAATCTCCAGACTTCCAGCTCCCTGTTCTAACTACTAAATAGCACAGCTGTCCTTAAGGGTGCTTATATCAGTCAGATACATCTTAGTAAGAGGAGACTAAGAAACGTAAACATTTTAATAATAGCCATGAACAATAACTCCCAAACTGGATATGTTATAAGTTGATAGTTTCAAGTTCATTTAGGGAGACTTCTAGACTTGGTACCTTGATGGCAACTTCTCCGACTTGTTCTGAGATATCAATTCCAAGAGAAGCTCTATAATATAACAAGCACTGTATTATTTATTTTTTAACAAACAATTTTTTATAATTATGGTAATAAAGTTACACATCTACTCAACTACGAAGCTACCTATTTAAAGTATTTAGCATTATGAGAGAGTATTCGGTGCTTGACTCCTGTGAGCTTTATACAGGCAATGAAGATTTGTACATATATCTATACAGCACCTTCTTTATTTTATTTTGTCCAACTTCCCGTTTATGAAAGAGTTTCCTTGTTCATAGCATGATGATGTACATGAGTTTCACCTAACCCATAATGTTTTTATAGCATTCCCCTTCAACAGTGACAGTGAGTAAAGTATTGCAGGTTCTTTCCTTCCATATTAATAGCTCAGTACTGTCTACTAAGTGTCTCGACACAAATGATCTGCCCAGAACAAGAAACATGTTATCTCTACCCAGAAATGTGATCTCTATGCATATGCACTTAGGCTTTTATCTGTCAACTCATCTTTGAAACATAAAATGAGAGTCCTTTCAAAAGTCAGTCTGTTAGCAAAATAAACCAAGCCTCAGCCCAAGTGAAATTAAAAGGGCAGCACTGTTACTGAAGTCAATGAGAATTGTCTCTGGTTATGTCAGGGGTAAGTGAGACATCAGGGGTGAAATCCTGGTCCCAATGAAGACAATGGCAGAACTTCCACAGATATCTATGGGCACAGAATTAACCCACATATGTTCTGCAAATAATAAAGCTGTCCTGTCCAGTCACGGGAGGACTACCCCAGGGTAGAGGGATCCCTCAGTTGTGTAGAGCTGGCATAAAAGTTCCTCTACCAACTCCTTCCTGCAGCCAGCACAGGAAAAAAGGAACATGGGCTTTCCTTGTACCCTGAGTATCTCTGACTGCTGAAGTGGCCCCAATGTACTCCGAATGGGGGAGAAAAGCAAATTCTTTCTACAGGAGAAATATTTTCTCAGCTTCCCTCCCAAGTGTATCTCCTCTAACTGAGGTGAGGAATTGTGAATACTGTAACTCCCCACTTAACGTCCTCTCGCTTAACACTGTTTCAATCTTACGTCCCTGCTCAATAACAGAACATGCTCCATTTAAAGTTGTGCAATGCTTTGCTCTAATGTCGTTTGGCTGCCTGCTTTGTCCACAGCTGGCAGCCGCCCTATCAGCTCCCCTACGCCCCCGCCCCTCCCCCTCCAGCACCTCCCGCCCGCCGGCAGACCCTGCAGATCAGTTCCTTCTCCCCCCTGCCTCCTGCCCGCGGCAATCAGCTAGCTTGTGATGTTCAGGAGGGAGGGGGAGGAGTGAGGACTCGGCACACAGGCTCCCCTTCCCTCCCCTGCCTCTTGAACGCCGCAAACCAGCTGATTGCTTCAATTCAACCCCACTTCCATTCCTTCCAAAACCTACATAACCTCATAAAACCATGGATACTAATGTCTGTAAAGTGCAGTAGAAGTATTTTATATTATCAGACTTTTCTACATCAAATATTTTATTGAAGGTATTCTGGTTATAAAGCAGTATTTTAGCTTTGTCTAAAGACCTGGGGCCAGACTGATGCTCAGTGTGGCTTTGCTGAGAGGGTGTCTACTGCTGCCATCCCTCAGGGTTCCCAACAGGATGCTGAGGAGTAGCCTGCTTTTTTTTTTTAAATGGCTAGGGATTGTCAGCATCCCCACTGGAAGAGGCAGCTGAGAGGTCAGCATATCCTTCACATGCCTGGTGTCCAATTTTGGAAAAGTGCTAACCTGTCTCTAGCTCCTTAGAGCAAAATAGGTTGGGACTGCCGTGTGCCACTGCAGCCTCCACCAACAGATATTCTATCTCAGGAATGTAAACCCAGTCTGAATGTAGCACTGGATGGCTGATCATGAATAGGCAGCAGGGTTCAGTGCATAGGACAGTGAGCTCAGAGATAGAATATCTGAGTTCTAGTTCTATTCCTGGCTCCGCCACCAATTAATTGAATGACCATAAAAGCAAGTTGCTTAACCTCTTCATGTCTCAGTTCCCCATATAACAATCGGAATAATGATATTTATCCAACTTCATAAAGTGCTTTGAGATCTATGCCCCAAAAGGGGTAAATAAGTGTTAAGTACTTATATAAAATTGGAGTGAAAAGTTACTGATATTTAAAAAGCACAACTACATCACAAGAAATTTCACATAATAAAATCTGATGGTATAACTGAAGGAGGCTTAAATTAAAATGACTGAAGGAAGTTAAAGTGCAATGTGACCATATGAGAAAATGGATTGGTAGGAGCTGTGCCACTTACTTTGGTTCATAGCGTATGCCATCTGTGCTATGTAACACACCTAAGCCTGCACGCATCCTTTCAATGCCATTCCTAAATGGAGAACATAAACGTAAAATGCAGTTCCTATTTACCATACAAATGTCTTTTTGTCTGCATGACACATGGCTTAATCACAATAAGCAGAAATTCTTACACAATTACATCAACTGGTTTTTCACATGTTGTACCACTGCTTTATAGAACATTTAAAAAACAAAAATATAGAAACACAGTCTTTGCTCACCATGCAATCATAACACCATTGTCAGTACAGAGTCTGGGAGGAGGACAAAGCAAACTGAAGTCAGTTGCATCTGTTACAATTTTCAGAGCTCTTCGGATATACTGGTTACTTGCAACTCCTCCTGATACAACCTGACAACAATTTTTAAAAGACAGGCAAAAGTCATTCAAAAGGTAAACAAATAAGGAATAGCTGACAGTGCACTAGTTCAACAAAAAGCTTGATGAAGATATTGAAGAAAGTTCATAAGAAAGGCCATACTGGGTCAGACCAATGATCCATCTAGCCCAGTATCCTATCTTCGGACAGTGGCCAATGTCAGGTGCTGCAGAGGGAATGAACAGAACAGGTAATCATCAAGTGATCCATCCCTTGTCATCTACTCCCAGCTTCTGGCAGTCAGAAGCTAGGGACACCCAGAGCATGTGGTTGCATCCCTGCCCATACTGGCTAATAACCACTGATGGACCTATCCTCCATGAATTTATCTAGGTTTTTTTTTTTTTAAACCCTGTTATGGCTGTAGCGTTCACAACATCCCCTGGCAAAGAGTTCCACAGGTTGACTGTGCGTTGTGTGTAGTGTACTTCTTTTTGTTCATTTTAAACCTGCTGCCTATTAATTTCAGTGGGTGGTCCCTGTTCTTGTGTTAAGTGAAAAAGTAAATAACATTTCCTTATTCACTTTCTCCACACCAATTAAGACCTCTATCATATCCCCCCTTAGTCGTCTCTTTTCGAAGGTGAAATGTCCTAGTTTTATTAATCTCTCCTCATATGGAAGCTGTTCCATACCCCTAATTTCAAAGACAGCAACCAATTATAATAAATAGGGAAATTAAGACCTAATAGAATAGAAGAGGATAAGAGAATTGTGTGTCTGTATTCTTACTAAGGGCTTGTCTCCACTGGCAGGCTAAATTGGCGCCACCGCGATTGATGCAGTGGCATCACTTTATTGGATCTGGTGAAGATGTGATAAGTTGATGGCAGAATGCACTCCTGTTGACTTCAGTGCTCCACCTCCCCGAGAGGCGGAAGCTAAGCTGTGGGAAAGCATCTCCCGCCGACATAGCACAGTGTAGATACCACATTAGGTCGATGTAAACTACATCACTCCGGGGGGTGACTTACAAGCAGCAGTATAGACCAGGCCTAAAAGATTACTGAACAGATATTACTATCTACAAAAAGAGCATGTAAAGGCATGTGTAAGTAGGGCAGTTATCAAATATCCGGCATTACTGGGTGAAATTCTAGGGCCTCTATTATGCAGGAGGTCAGACTAGATAATCATAATGATCCCAGTTGGCCTTAATCTCATTATTCAAGTAGGACAGAACAAAAGTAATGGGTGTAAATTGTAGCATGGCACATTTTAGCTATTAGAGAAAATGCTAAAAGGTAAGAATAGCAAGCCATGTAATCATCACTATATATTCAAAGCTAGACTTTATACCCATGTATTAGGGATGATTTTGGAATGGATTAGCTTATTCACATGCAATGATTATTTGTATTAAATAGCGCATAGAGCTCTCAATCAGGATCAGTGCTCGTGTGTGCTGAGAATCTAATTCAAATGAGTCTATGAAATTATTTAATGTTTTAAATATATATTTTAAGTGTCTTGTAAAAATGCTAGCTGTTGCAATGCTAGATGACTTTCTGGTCCTACGTACCACGCAAAGACACCGTTCTTTAAAAAAAAAAAAAAAAATTCACATAATTCTGTCATCACAGATCCAGAGTCAATTGAAAGTTGTCATCTTTTTATGCATCCAATAGTAAAAGTCCTGGAAAACTCTGCTTTCTGGGACATGTATGTCCTTGTATGGTGGAGAATATTAATGGAAGTTTTATTGAATTTGGCATATAACCATTTTTATGCTTAATTTAGAAATTTTTCACTTACAATTAAGTTGCTATAACACATGGAAAGGTAAAAAGGTAAGTAATCTCCAGGGTTTTATAGCAACTATACTTTTTACCTTTAGAGATATTTCAAAAATTTCAATAAAAAGGCCAATTTGGGGGGCGCGGGTGGGCAGAGGAGAACTTTCATGAAAGAGTGTCCTATTTTCTAACAAGCTCTAGTTATCTTATTGAAGAGAGGTTAGTGAAACTGAATAATACGAAAAAATTTGAACCCAGTTACAAGTTATAAAATTAAGTTCATTAACAGACATTTTCACATGTTCACAAAAATATTTACAATTTTTTCACTGTATTTCATAAAGCTTTAATCATCATTGAAAAATTACAATGTCCCAGCATAGAACTGCGGGAGGGGAGAAAGGGTACTGTTCTGCTGGAGGTACTCTCTTGGATGAGACAGAGAACTATGGTCATGACCACTTTTGGTAATTAAAAATCTCATGGTACTTTTTACAAGATGAGGGGTTAATCCTAGTGTCCTGGCCAAATTTAAACGTGATTAAATCATATTCTGTTTACCTATAAATTCCCCTTGTAATTTTGGCTTGATATATTATTCTCACTTCCTCTCCTAAACTGCTTTCTAGTATTGCGCTGTACAGCTGAAACAAATGATGTGTTTCACCCAGAGATGGCTTCAGTGGAGGGTGATGCTATCCTACATGTAGTTTTTGTATCAGTTTAACTTTATACAATGATTGAGATTGCTTGGAGTAAAAGATGTTAAAGTTGTGGATAGATGTTCCCAATACATCTAAATATATACAAGAAAAATACAGACATGTAAGAAAACTTTAAAATTACTTTACCTTTAACAATGCACCACTTTACAATACTCTGTTGCAGCAGGATTTATTTTATATATTCAACTAAATGTACCACATACATTTATTTTAATCCTGGAGCAGCATTATCAGTGGAAATGTCAAGGAGGGTGCTGATGCCTTGCTGCACTTTCTCCTGGTGCTGTTACATGTATTCAAATGTATGATGGCATGTACCCCTTGACATACATAGTAAAGTTATATGTACTTACCAAAGTTGCATTTGTTTGTGATAGGATGCCGCTTTTTATGCAGAACAGAATAGCCCGGTGTGTTCGCTGGGCAATATGAAGTGCTACTGCATGCTGTACTGCAGCAGCAATGTCTGTAACACAGGACAGGAGGTGTCCCTCCTGTATACCTGCAGAAATTGTGAGCAAAGGGGTTTTTGCAAATATAACCACAAGTCAGGTGTACAATTTGTATATATCTTACTTTGAAAAATACCTTCTTCCTTTTCTTTTTGCATAATTATTCTAGTGGCATTGGAGTGAAGTCCAGAAAAGGAAAAATTGCAGTTAGGATGATGTCGCATGGGAGCTCTGAGTTCATAATGCAGCCTGTTTCCCTGTTGGGCCAAGTGCTCTATAGCTTTCCCACCACTCATTCTGCAGCACTCTGGGTGCTTTGTTAGAGACAGTCTTCTTGCTACCTAGAAAAATAGAAAATAATCTAATTATGCTAACAATAGACTGGGAAAGAAGAATTGGGGAAAAATAGGGCCAAATTAATCCCTGATGTAACTGCACTGCTCCACTATAACTCCAGTCAATGGAGTTACATTAAGGATGAATTTGGCTCAGAGATTATATATTGTGAACTAGGTACTATGAGGAAAAGATCAATGATAGATGCCAAGGCTAACGTTAGAGGGCTTTTAACATCAAATCCAATTTTATAGTAAATTGGGTGAATATGAGGATCCTCCAACTTTGCAAGAAACATGAGAAATCTAATTCTTCTTCTTTTGAAATGGACACTCACAGGTATATTAGCCCGCCAAGTTAACACTGATAGAAAGGATTTCACATTTTAAAAAAATTTTGTTTTGTTTTAAAAATTTCCTTGCAAACCTGTGCTAGTGCTTGAGAATAAGAAACAGAAACTAGCCATCTTAAGTTTATTTATTCAGTGACCAACACAATATAACTTGTGAAACATAAACTAGACTTTTCAAACTCTCTCAGGCACAATTAGTAACATAAGTAAGGACATTTAAAAATATCAAACATGATTTTAAACAACAGCATCCTTTTAAATATCACTGTTAGTCAGATTCATTTGTACTGCATATATTGTTGAACTTTCTATGTCCAGCCTCACTGTAGGCTGGCCATCCAGGTTATGGCTAGCTGCCTGCTGAAAACAACTCATGCCAACTAAAGAAATATAATTAATAGATTTTAGTAGCCTCTGAGCCCATGAAATCTCTAGTATTTCAAATTGGAGGAAAAAACTAAAGTTTATAGTGTATTGTACTGTTTTATTTATGTTGACTGTAGGTGATATTCTAGAAAGCATACTGGCTAACTTGTTCCAACCTCTGTGGTTACAATGAAAATTCACAGAGTTTAAAAATACACCTGCCAAATCAGATCCTTCCTTTAACAATGCCGATTTAATAAGCAGGAAATATTTAAAAATTAATTTATTCAGATTTATTTAAGGTATCCATCTAGGGTCAGGGCACAAATATAAAAATTTGCTAATAAAATATAGGGAATGGGACTGCTCTACACAAGTGATTAACCTTACCTGTTACTAGATTCCACTGCTGGAAAAAAACACTAGCTGCTCTAAAGCTTACACAAATCCTTACCCAAGGTAATGCCAGAATCCCAGTTTCCTAAAGAATACATACCTCGACTTTTGCTACTGTAAAAAACAGACAAACCATGATGTAAATAATACAACAAATATAAGTACTTGTATAAAATGCATAAATGAATCCCTACTGAAATATTACCTTGTCAAGAATGTCTCCTGGTGCTATATCCACTGACTGTCCAAGCAGAAGGAAATCTGAAACTCCTTGTGCTACTACCAGGATACAGTGGCCTCCAGAGATTAAAAGAACTAAGAAAGGAAATTCCACTTGGTTTATTAGCCTAATTGTAAGTGCATGTGCCTCCATGTGATGGATGGGGATGAAAGGTTTTTTATACTTGTCCACCAATTTTAAACTATATTCTAATCCCACTCCAAGACTTAAAGCGAGTCCTGGCTTTACAGTAGTTGCAACAGCAGAGAGTTCATCGAGAGAGATTCCACTGACGCAGAGTGTTTCTTTCACTATTCGCTCAATATTTTCTCTGTGAAGTTGCTGTGCCACTGGAGGAATAATCCCACCTGTTCTAGTTAGAAACAAAGAATAATGAAGTGTCCCTATTTTATGACAGAGACAGAATCATAGAAATGAGAGATGGAAAATACTTGGTAGTTCTGCCATATCATGACTGTTTCCTACAGTATATTCTCAAATGCTTTGTCTAGTCATATTTAAAATGCCCCCTGCAGTGAAGATTACCATCACTTCCACTGGAAGGCCATACGAGGATTCAACTTGCTCTTGCTTGGTTTATGTCCCATTTGATTTTAGCCCTAGGCTGTGCCAAGACAATTTTTAGGAGTCAGTACTCTGCAACTCCTCTGTCATCAGGAATTCAGCAAGGAATGTCCATATTCTAATTTATCTTTGTCCAGAATTGGAGACAGGTAAATATCATACTCTTCAGGATTGGTGGTTGTGGGAAATTTTACCAGATTTGATAATCAGAACCAATTCATATTTCTTAAGACTTAAGAACCTGCCCCTTGATGGAATATAACAAGTATAAATGACAATAGCATTAGTAGTCATATTAAACTACAAGTGAAGTTATAAATAAAGCACCCATTGTAATGTCTACTTACTTTAAATGGACTTCATTTTGAGAATGTAGAGCTTCTCCTAAGATTTTGCCAGTATCATCAACCACAGCAGCTGCTGTATCATCACAACTAGTTTCAATTCCCAGAACTAATTTAGTGGGATAGTATTTGACAGAGTTAAAGAAAATGCTTCTTAAACACACAGACCAGCCATGTTCAACTGATTTTGAAGTGCATCTGGTTACACTGCTCATTGCTAAAATCTTCTGCACAGAGGCATGCCTAGAAAAGAACTGTACAGATACCATCCTCAGAATTCAAATTCCACAACAGTAATTTAGCCAGGCCAAGTCATATTAGTAACAAGTAATTTTAAAAGCAGTGGCCAAATTCATGCAAACTGTCACTTCAAAGTTAATGCAGTTACACCAATAATGACTTGAATCTAATGGGTTCGTGTTTAGGAAAATGGGAAGAGACTAAAAATGATGTTATTTCATTGTTTATTATACCCACTAGAAGTCTGAGTGAACAGGCTTAGCTGATTCCAAAATATCTTTTCCCTTATATTAAGCAGAGGTTCTTACGATGAGCTCTAACAATTAGACATCATATATAGGGCCTAATTCTCTTCTCACCCAGGTTTTACCCCAGTGTATTTCTATTGACTCATGATTTACACTGGTATAAATCCTGAGGAGAAGCAGACCCAGTCTCCTACTCCCTCCAGTGAGGTCCGCCATTCATGAGCAATAAGAAATAAGAATATATTTGTGGCAATAAAAACTTAATCGTGCCCTATAAACCATTACATATATTCTCTCTCTCCTTTTGCATATATCTATATCTATAGCGGGATACATAGCAACGTGTTGAGCTAGATCCTGCATGCTAGTAGCAAAACACTTTTTACACCGCTCAATTTTTTTCCCACACAATCTTCCTAATTCAAACCAGCTGAGCTTCTTTTTGCACAGACTTTCCCAAAATATTCACTATTGAGCCTAGAACAAATGTGCCAAATTTCAGCCCTAAAGATATATTTTGATAGGCCTCTGAAAATGACCCTTTAGGATGAAAATCCCTGTGCCACCTTAATTTTAGGCAGTGCTCTATCAAAAGTATATTTTGGAGCATGCCTTAGGTACCCAGGCCCAGATCCTCCAAGGTATTTCAGAGCTTAATACACATTGTCTTCAATAGGAATACAGCTCCTAAACACCTTTTAGGATCTGGGCCACAGTCCTCCTCTGACTCAATTTTTTTCCCCCCCAGTACTAGGACAGTTGCTGATCATGGTGTACTATTTCAACAACCATCAATATCAGCGCCAGTAGCATTAAGTGCCCAGTGCTCATGGTATTTTTAGTAATAGAGCATAGAACTGCTGCTGAATCAAACACTAGAAATACTTTGGAGTGGAGGACATGGGGGGACTTCCTAGTACAGAAGGAAAGGGGGGGGGAGGGAGAGAAAGAAGAAGTTAGAGAAAATTAAAGGAATTTTATAAAACGTATCCCATTAGAGGGATCACATAGACAAAAAGCATTGTCCTCCAACTCAGGCCTAAGGAAGAGGTAGAAACAATAGGGGAAGACCTAACCACCTAAGGTAAGGAAAAAAATGTTTTTGCATTTAATATGCTTCTAAAATGCTCTCCTGTCTATTTTCTCAGTATTAAGACATGGTCCCATTTTGGCAAATTTGTGAGATGAACACTATCTACCATATGGAGGTAGAATACCTGTGCTTTAACAACCTAATTTGAGTTACATTACAAAACACACATGGTTTGTACAGTAGATTACAGTAAGTGACTAACCAAATGGATATTTCTTAAAGTGAACTGAAATCACTCTCCCTCTCTCTATATATGAAAAGTTAATGAGGGGGTGGGGGAAAAAAGAGTCAGTGCCAAAATATTTTTAGCAATTTAAAAAATTATTTCTTTTCTTCACTCTTTATAAAATAACCCCTTGGAAGCTTGAAAGTGATACCTGTTCCCTTTCCCAGTTTTGCTTCTCCTTTGTGCATGCATATTGGTTTATTATTGGATGATTGCTCCAGAGTGCTTTCTTATTATTCTACTGCACACAGAATTACATGGACTTAAGAAAATGGCAAGAAATGAAGCAGATCAAATTTCAGGTCAAACAAACACAACAATGTACCTTTAATTTTCTAAAACGGTTATAATTTTAGAGCTCAAGAAAGTGACCTGAATAGTGTATCCCTTACTTTTTTACTATTACAAACTATTGAGCTAAAACGTGTTTCCTAAGAAATAAGAAAAAGAAAAGGAAATGTTTTCTTAATACTTAACATTTTGAGAAAGGTTAGGAGGTCTGTGGTTACCTGCACCCAAAACATGTTTCAAAACAGATTTTGTTCAGTGTTTCCAACTGTTGGTATCATGTTTTACACTTTTCTGTGAGAGAGACACAGAACACACAGTAAATCTCACAAAACTCTGCAATGCGTAGACATTATGTATAGACAGGCAGATGTGCTTGGTTACACTCCTAAATTGTATAAGTAATACCTTACAGTTTATATGCCTGAATACTCCATTATTAGAAGGAACAAGACTTACCATAAGTCACTTTCACTGTAAAAAGTATTCAAGCTTTCAGAAAGGTATTACTCCAGACAACAAAGAATCAAATAACTGAGCAACATCACAGTAGCAAGCCAGTTACTAGAAGAGGAACAAGGTATTGGGAGAATGTATTTGTTTTATTTATTTAAAGTAGTCTCACCATAAACATTAAAAAGAATAATAGTATAACTTGTTTATAATTTATAAATACTTGTTTTGTAAATTAGGGAATATGTGGCCACGGCATCTGTGAATACATGGAGTCAGAGGCCATGAATCCACAGAGGGTACAAAGGTGCCGTGGCTCCTTCTCCCGTCACAGAGCTGGAATAGTGGCTGTGGTGCTTTCCTCCACTCTGTCCATTAATGGGGGGAGAGGCTGAGAAAGTCCCTCCTCCCCCACACACCCTCACAGAACTGGTTCCTGTGTAATTCCCTTTGGTCCTGCTATCACTGATATCAACAGGAAAACACCCAAATGACCAGGATCAAAGCGAGTTTGTTACAGCACCTCACAATGTAAAAACATTCCTTCTAAAATACACATTTTTTCCTACACACCGCTCCAGCCAATATTTTTAATCAGTCCAACTCTTGTTACACATGCTGTGAGAAATGCCCTTGTGGATACTAATTTAAATCCAACCTAATCTGATTAGATCCTGAGCCTTTTAAAAAACAGGACAGTGACCCCTGATAACATAATTATCTGTGCTACTTTCAAGAGCATCCACTAACTATGCAAGGATACTATTTTTATAGTCAAGCACCCAGGCATATGTCAAGCACCCAGGCAGAGAAAATGAAGCATAACAGTAAAAAGAAAAGGGAAGCAAGTGAGTTAAGATAGCTGTACCAAAATAATCAATAGTATATTTTCATCCACAGATCTTGAAGTACTTCACTTATTATCTTTATTTTATAGATGGAAAAACTGAGAGAGAAAGATATTAAGTGACTTGCCCAGTCATGGCACAAACAGAAACAAAACCCAGATTTCTCAAGTCACAATCCCCTCCCCTAGCTACTGGATCACACTGCTTCCTATTAAATAACAGAGTGGGGATCCTCCAGACTATCTGCATGAGGGCCTTGGTTAGATAACTACATAGAGAAAACCCACCTTAAGACATCTCATGAGGAAAAACAGCAGAAAAGAAGAGAACATGCTAAGTTGCTCTTATTATCATGTCTCATTTATGTAACACCATATCTGACCCTGGTACTTTACAGACAAATAAAATGACATATCCCTGTCCTGAAGAGATTACAATTAGATTTAATGCAACAAGATATGACTAACAAACAAGGGGAGGAGGAAATCAGTATGGAAGGATATGAGTTACAACAGGAAAATATCACGAGATATATGCTTAATGTTATGCACACATCCTGTTAATTATCTTTGGATATCTTAAAAGTAATTTTCTCAACATGTTACACCTTGTGGTTAAAGTCCAGAATGAAGGCTAGAGGGGGAACTGAAGGCTGAACAAAAGGAAGAGTTTTTGATCCCCTCCCACTTCTCTACTACAAGGTGTATTTCTGTGTTTTTTCTTATTCATGTTATGGAAATTGCTACTGCTGAGAAAATACTTGTTGCAACATCAAGCAGTTGTTTTGCGTAATGTCACTAAATATGAAGACATAACCTTTCCACTACTAGATAAGAAGTGTGTTGAAAATCTATATCTATTTTATTGGTAACTGGTTGGGACTAGTATTTCAGTCCTGTTCCATCTTTAATTTCAATGAACAGGGCTATTCTGGGATTGAAAGTGGTTGCTTATTTAATTTTTGCTTCAGGGTTAAATTGTATCTTAACTATCTTCAATAACAGATCTTTTCTGCTCTGGTAGTTAGGCTATTAACCTGGAGTTAGTGGCTGTACAACATTTTTTAGTATGGGGCTACTGATAAAACGTGTCCCTGCCTTCCCCTAATCTATTTAGGTAACAAATAGGTTTGGGGAACTGATAGCCAATGTTACTACTAACACAGGTTGTAGACAGACATACCTGGAGAATGATCCTTCTTTGCTGGGAGCACATTTCTAATGATGTACTGAATGGGAGAAGTTTTGTTTATTAGCTCTTTTAACATTCCTAGAGTTCTATGCCTAAGTGCACCTACCATGGTAGCAATCATATTGTGTGCAATGGCATGTTTATATTTAGAAGGTATTACACAGAGTTGGGCAACAGAACCAGCCTGCATGTAAACAAGTTTCATGGTTCTTTCTACACCCTTGACTGTTTAAACTCCCCAAATGAAATAATGACTGGATGGTGGGTTAGTTTTGAATTAAGAATGCAGAGCTGTAGGGCTTTTTTTCTATCTCAGTCCCTTTCTGGCTATTGCCTGACAGGGATAATGTGGCTCACAAATATTTTTGAAAGGAAATCTGTTTTGCCATTGGAGGGGGCTAGGATGAATTAAATGGCATACTTTTATAACAGAAGGAGAAAACAAAGGTCTACAAGTGATATATCTCCTCTGTTCTGCAAATTATTTAAATCAAACCTTGACTGGGGCACCAGAAGAGGCAGGTTGGTGTAACTGGCGTGAGACATGGGACTGTGTCGTGGCTGCATCCCTGAGAGAATGAATGGACAAAGGAGTTTGTCTGCAAGTCATAACCTGGTAGAGAGAAGAGTGGCACAGCAGTCGGAGCAGGTGCAATGCTATGGTTACTTTACCAACTATTTCAATGAGATGCTCCTTAGGGAGAACCGACTAGAAAGGGCGGGCAAGTCACATAACCTCCTACAGTGAGGATGCAACGAGAGGGGGACAGGACTTTCCCTCCTGCCTCGAAGAGAAGAGCAGGGGCTGTCCTGCGGACCCCACGGAGCGGAGATGGAGTGAAGTCACCCAGCGCCAGAGGGAGAGGCCGCTGGAGGAATCTTCCTCAGGCGAGCCCGACACCCCGGCCTCTCCCCCTCCAGCAACCGAGACCCGGGGGGTGGGGGTGAGCTGACACACCCCTCCCCCCGCGCCAGAGACGCCCCCGTCAGTCTCGGGCTACATAAAGGTTCCGCCTCCCTGGGACCGGGCTTCATCCATCTGCATCCCCTCCCCCGCATCCTTACTTTTTGCTTCTGGCCCCGCCCCTCGACAAGGTTCACCGGCGACAGCGGCTTCTGTCCCGCAAGGGTTAAAAGCGGCCTCCTCATAAGAGCAACCCGACTCGCTGTCGCGGCCCTGACTGAACAAGGCCTGGTCACGTGGCAAAGCTGGGCCAATGGAAAGGAGAAACCTACGCTGGGGGAGAGGCAGGGAACTGCTGGCTGCCGCCATCTTTGGTCCAGGCACCTAGAAGGGAAGACCAGGAGCAAGTAGCCTCGGGCGCCATCTTTGTTCATCCCCGGGCATCAACCGGCGCGTTACAACGGGGCGGGCGCACCGAGGTGACCCCGCCCCTAGCGATGGCCGGGGCAGGGCGGGGCCGTGGGAGACCTCGCTGGGCTGCCCGAGGAGCGCCGGGGACGCACCGGCCGGGACAGAGACAGATGCAAGGCCCGGGGCGGGACGGGCGGGAGTTAGGGACTCAGCCTTCCCCACCAGCCATACTGGCACCGCCGCCTGCGACCTGCGCTCCGTGGTGCTGGGGGCGATAGGGCCGGCACAGGACTCAGCGAGCCAGGCAGGCTAAAGCCCAAAGCACCTCTGGGCCCCAGTGCCATACCGTGGGGGTCCTAAGGAGGACTATCTCCCCCCCATTAATACTGGGCTCCCTCGAGCTGCTTGAGGCCTTAAGCCATTGCTTAGGCTGCTCATAGCGAGTGCTGGCTCTGCTGGGCCTATTTAGTGCTGCTCACCACTGCACCAGAGAGCGGTCCTGGTTCAGTTAGACTTGGCCCAACCGCATGCACAAGCGCATAGTCATCCTCTGCTTTTCCAGAGGCTGACGCCATTCATTGTAACTTTCAATGCCACTTCTGCAGTTGTGCTCTTCGGCCGCAGCCCCCTAGAGAACACCACCTCACAGCCTAAGTGAGCACAGGCTACCTGCCTCAAACCATCCAAAGGGCACATCAGAGATAGTCCAGATTTATCCTGCCCCTGCTGAGGCTGTTAATCATGTGCACCGCTCCAAACTGCATAGCAGTAGCAAGTAGTTGAAAGCAATGATATTTAGCTGATAGCTCAAAGCTGGCTCTCCTTTAGGTTCTTTTGAATATTAATATGTCTCATTCCAAAATATCTACAATCCCTTATACCTACTCGTTGTGCTGGGTCTTGGTTTCAGATTTATTTTCTGGATGTTATACTCAACACAAAGAAGGATATAGTCCTTGCCTCAAGAACTTGCACTTTAAACAAGATATAGAATATTGTGTACTGTGTGATCAAGATTACAGTTTCAAGTATAGCTTTTTATGTAGACTTAAAATTTGTTAGGTGACTGTTCTAGTATTAGGCAGGGGCTTTATGGCTGAAATGAGCAAAGGAGGATTTTGCATAAAGAAGGCAACTGAAGAAACTGAGTTTACAAAGGCTGTGAGAACTTACATTAGTTAGATTAGTGCACATAGTCTGTACTTATGGATTTATTGTATTTTAAAAAAACATTAAAAGAAAGTTAAAGTTGCAAAGTCAAGCACTCAGAAGTTAGGAAATAGAGTTAAAGTTTCATGTGCAACCTTAGTTTTGCCCCCTTATGCATATCCACTATGCAACAGACCTCAGTACATCACCACATACTATTTTTCCCCACAAGGTTCCTGCCTCATTCAGTGCACAGGATGGAGAGTGTACAAAGAATCATGTAAGAATAGTGAATGAGGCTATTTTCCGTAGAGGCCTGCCTCACTTGTTGCAGAAGTTGTCAAGCTTCAACTATTCAGGCTGAAATGCAAGGTTTTATAAAGGAAAGACGATACCTACAGTAAGACTCTTATAACAGAGTGCTAGGTAACCTAGAGGTATTGCTTCTAGCTCTCCCTATTGTATATTGATACGCCAAAAGCTTCCAGATGACTTCCATCCATGTAATCAATATTATACCTGTCCCTTATTTTCATGTTTGTTTGGTTTTTTGCATAGATATAGACAGACTTACTGAGAGTTGAGATGACACTTGAAGAATTAAAGCAGGCTCCCAAGTAAGCTTTTTAATCCTTGACAACTCTGTCCCACTAAAGTGTGTTTAATAATTTGGAAGCAGACTCAGTGCTTATATGATCAAATAGTACATGAAGAAAATAAAACATTCAGTTGTACCCTACAATGTATGTGATGTAAAGAGACAAAACCCTTAACTGCTATCTGTAGAAATTACATAGGTGGGTGGGTGTGTGTACGTTTCCTCATTAAATTGAATAGTTGGCTGGAGTAAAATGTACCATGTAATATAGTATTTTGTTCTTACAGAGGAAAGAATAAAGCCAGATGTGTATTTTGAACAACTTGTTTTATACTACAAAGAAATAAAACCATCATAGGGCAAATTATTTTAAATGCTGTAAACCACATAAGCCATTGGGAAAAAAGTATCTGAGGAGAAAAGGAAAAAGCCTAGTACAGTGATGTGTTGTACAATTATTGAAAAGATTTTCCTATTCAATTTTAGACAAGTTTTACATAACATAGGATTAGTGTTTGAAACACTATCAACAATCTATTTACAAAAGCACATCACCAGCTGTAAATTTTTTGCTAAAACGAACAAAAGTACAAAGTACAATACTGATTCCTAGTCTCAGTCATTATCATTTATCCTTTATATAAAACAATATTTTCAAAAACAAGACACTTTCAGAGAGCTAGCATAGCCCTATGAAGCAAACTTGATTTTTTTTAAAGTAGCCAGTTATCACTTTATATTCATAATTATTAGTTTAACTTGAAGATTCATCTGTTCATACGAACCGTTCAGTTACTATGAAGTTTCATAGCTCACTGCTGATAAACTACAGCCAATCTTCCATCAGCCAAAGTAGCCAGAAAAATTCTCCTGCTAAGGGAGACAAATACGCCCACCAGTGGCTAAAAACTTGATTGAATTTTGCAAGGCAAATCTTTATATAGGTGTTGGTTTTGCTGCATGAACATTCTTGCAATCCCTGTAGCCAAGGCTTAAACTAGGGCCATGCTCCTAAAGGCCACAGTTCTTATGATAACCGAAGGAAGTTCCAGTCTCCCCTCTCTCTCCACCCCAAATCCAAGCCAGTTCAAAATGTGCTAAGCTGCTTTCACTTGGCAGTTACTCTGCATATCTTACAGGATCCTCTCTCTTTTTCAAGACACAAAACTAAATGGTGAGGCCTCAGCATATACATCCATCACTCTAATTAGAGTTGATTATCCACAAGGGTAGTACAGTACTATACAGTAGTGGAGTCACCCCTGAAATTTAGATTCTTGCATGTTTCTTGAACTTCTTGTCAAGGTGTTCCAAGAAATGCAAACATCTACATTTTCTTCTGCTGGACCATACAGTTAACATCTATAGCTTGGTTGTTCACCCACCACCAGTTTGGGCTTTTACTTTGTGATTTTACTAGCTAGAGAAAGTGGTTTCTGCTGGATATTCCAGCAACCTGCAAAACTGGACTGCCTCTCCTCTTAAAAAGAAAGAAAAAAAAAAAAGGCCATTATAGACCTCTTAACCACTAAAACATGGCCTAGCAATCAAATAAAGAAGACTGCCCAAATCTACACCATAAGAAGTTTTCTGTTTTTAGAAATTCTGTGCTTTAGTTTCTCAAAACAGATTAGCAGCCCTGTCTGGAAAGTTAAAACAATGTTGACGTATTTCATTAGTATATGAAAAGTGGGCTAGCAAGCTGATGTAGAAATCCCCTGAATTGACACATAGGACTGGAGATGTCTTTGTAACTAAGGTCTCAGGAACAGATATAAGTACACCATTAAATCACAGCAGTAACTAGGTTAAAAAAAACAAACACAACTACATTGTCTACCTTTAGGTGTTGCCAGACAACCCATAAACTATAAAAGTGAACCATTTATAATCCAAAAGCAGTAACTGGCTACTTTTACATAATCTAAGCATGAGGCCTCACCAGTTCTTCAACAGAGGATTCTGGGTTTACATATTAACTTGCTTTGCTTTTACTACGGCTATCTGGTTGATTTGTGAAAATTGCCCCTACGTTTCAACTAAGTTATTCACACCTTCTTTGCAAGTCACTTGTGTCGCCTGGGCATATGTATTCTCTTAGTGCTGATTAAGTTTTAGAGCTGGGCCTGCCCAGTTCCTCATGGAAAACCTCTCTCCGAAAGATTTACCATTCACATTAAATACTGAGAAGCATCTTCCTGTAAAAGTCTACTTGCCTTCCAAACAGCATCCAAAGTAGTAGCAATTAGATCTCAGGTGTGAAAGTATCTCATTGTATGTTACTAGATAAATGGCACAGCAGACTACCCATTCCTTCACCTGAGAAAAAGCAGTAGCCATGGCAGGTTTTGGTCAGAACACTTCAGTTTCACATCTTCTGATTAGTATTTGTTGATGCCAAAGATTCTTACACCATGAAGCTGTGGCAACTTGGGGATAAGCACACTCAAGAGAGAAGCTGTGTTCAGGATGAAGTGTGCTGGATCATACTTGGTATAGAAGCTTGCCAAGAAATACCTGCAGAAACAAAGGGAGTAAAGACAACTGACAAATCTTGTTTTTTGTTAAATGAAGAGAATTTTAAAAAAAACTGTAAAGTCATCAGGGGACTAAGAAAGGATTCAAGGGATTTGGGGGGTGGGGCGGAGGACAGAACAGAAATATTTCTCCTGCTTTAAGATGCTTTTATAGTTTCGGCAAATTATGGCCCGAGTATCTTTCTCCCACAACCCTAGGGTCAGGGTTCTGAAAAACAAAAGCTAGATTTTCCCTCCCCCACCCTTTCAACCTGAGGTCCTGACACTCAAAAGTTACAAGGCCAGCTGAGAACTCAGGTTTTAAATGGCACAAGGTGTTATTAGTTTTATATTTTAACCTAAATACATTTCTCATAAATATTAATTAGTTTAATAAACTCTGTGACAAGGAATTTGAAGTCCTCTAAAGCAAAGAGGACACTGAAGTTGAGTGACCTGTGATCAGTCAGCAAAGTATTAAAAAAAAGCCTGCAACCCTTTTGATGTTTCCACTGCAAGTTTGCTATTGTAATTTAGCTAGTTGACAACCAGTTCAACTGGAAAAGTTAGAGAACATACCATAGATTCCAGCTATCTCACCCTTTTTCCTGCTGTTACAGTCTACTTCTTTGCTAAAAAGAGCCACAAAACAAAGCGATAATTGTGAATTTCCTTGGGTTTTTTTGGCGAGGGACTATTCTTTGTTTAAAGTGGTGTAATGGGATGTTTTTACATATTGTGTAAGCCAGGGCTTGAAAAATGCTCTTGCATTCTTGCCACGTCTTGCAAATGGGAGGCTTTCCCTGAAAAAATGGAGAAGACAATGACATCCGTTTCTGTGTAGTAGTGTTAAAAATTTAAGAAGTTTCTTGCCCGTATGATTTTGAAATAGCCTTCTAAGTATGAACCAATTTAGAGTTCTTCTTCCAAGTCTGTAGACAGCTCAGTGCTGCTGTTGCTAACACTTTTTACAAGCTGTAGAAGAGGACAACTATAGCAAGACTCTGAGATGTTTTATTGCTGCAATTTAGCATCCTGAGAATAGAATCAGGTCAATTTCATTCAGCTGATGCTTAGAAAGTCTGTGAACAAACAGGAGAGGCAGGTATTGGACTAATTTGAGGTTGGGTGGAGGGGGCAGAGAAAACGAGTCTGGGATGGGGCAGAGTGGCACAGATCTCATTCCCCTGAAGTAGCTAGAAGGCTAGGGAGGAAAACGGCAGTGTGCATCCTATCCCCCAGGAGGCTCTAAGGTGGAGAATAGCAAGAAAGGACCTTTTCCCCCCCCAGAGCCAGAAAAGCAGAAGGAAGCTTCAAGTTTGATCAAAAAACAAACTAGCCATCTTCCATACAAGCCTCTGGAGACCCTGAGCAGCTAGGAATTCTGGCATGCTCCTTGCTTCTCAGCAGATGGGGACAAGGATAGGTCTTTCATCAGCATGCTGTCCTTGGATCTTGCTGATGGCTACCTATCACTAAATCTGGCTGCTTACTAGTAGATTCAGTCCTTTGGCTACTAGGTGTCTGGTAAGTTTTTCAAATGCGGTGTAGGACATGATCCTGCAGGTGACGCTTAGCACTTTGTAGGATTGGTCCCTTAGTACTTAACTGACTTTCCTTTTATTTGCATAGTTGTTGCCGTTACAATTCCATCAACACTGGCTGGGGTGTGTGTGAAGTTTTTGATCAATTGTATTTACATTGTAACATAACTTGAGTAAATAGAAACAATCCTACTAGCAAAATGCAAAACTGACATGAAGTGCTATGGATCAGACTCAATAAGAAGTATGGCAAAGATCACAGAAAATGTGAGATAGGCACTTTTGATGCTTACAGAAGTTGAAATCACAAATACTGAGAATCGAGTTACTGTTTTCAGCATACACACGGTACTTTATGAGGAAAGTGTTCTGTTAAGCTTCATAAAGAGCCTAATTCTACAGACCCTTTTGGTTGTTAATATTTGCAAAATTGAGCCTCTATTTCAATAACGGGGTTCAAATCTGCTTGGAAAAGAATGACTGTAAACTAATTTAATCTCCAAACACATGCTCTGTAAACCTATCAAATAGAGACAAAAATAAATGAGGAAAAAGATTTAACAGATGTAAAGTATTACTAATTGATTAATTCAAGGTTTTTATTCCAAATATATATATTATATTAAATTTCAAGTACACACACAAGATAGAATCATTCTAACAGTTCAGAACTCACAGAATTATTGGAGAGATTGTGAAGAATTTTCGTGAGGATGTAAATTGTACTCCATAGTCCAGTTGCTCCCAGTGTGTTAGCAGCCTGGCTTTCCCCTGGTCAGGTGTTTCAAAAGGAGTTCCCTTTACCGCATGTAAGAATACATACATTCCCTGGGGAAAGAAATTTTTGTAAAAAGTAGCATTATTAATTATTATTATTTAATGTTTTGTATTACTGTAGCCTCTTCAGGGCCCCAACAGAGATCAGAGCTATATCTTGCTAGGCACAGGTATAGGCACATAATAAGAGAGTTCCTGCTATGAACCTCTTGCAACCTGGACAGAAAGTATAGAAACAGGGAGAAGAGGGCATGAGGGTGGAAGGAGAAAGACACACAAAGAAGTGAAGTGACTTGCTCAAGGTCAGCAGGTCAATTGCAAAGCCAGGATTAAAACCAAAGTTTCCTGGTTCCCAATCTCATGCCCTATTCACTAGATTACATAGCAAAGATTATATGGTGGAACAGACTGTAAATAAGAGCTCTAACAAGTTCAGAGCTGCTAATCAGTAGTCATAAAACACAATATTAAAGCGCTCAAATAAATTTGTTAGTCTCTAAGGTGCTACAAGTACTCCTTTTCTTTTTGCAGATACAGACTAACACGGCTGCTACTCTGAAACCTGTAGTGATGAAGAGAATGTGATGAAGCCCCTTCGGTAACTTTTAGTCTAGTTAGTAAAACAAGAGCCCTTGAATAGAACTATGTTTACACTGCATTTTTAGGATAGCATCCTTTCTTAAGATAGCAATCTTTTCCCTAGATAGTGGCAGATCATGTAAAGTCTTAGGCTATGTCTACACTACGGCTTATGTTGGCATAATTTATGTCGCTCAATGGTGTGAATAAATCACCTCCATGAGCGACGTAAGTTACACCAACTCCCGCTGACACAGCTATCACTGCTCGCTAAGGTTGTTTTATTATGCCAACAGGAGCGCTGTATGTGTAGACATGCCGTTATTGTTGATCCTGGGTTGTTGGTGGTCTCAGGATGCTAGATAAATGAATCTCAATTATGGCACAAACTGATGAACTGTGCCCCTGGTTCTCTAACCTTGACATAACATTTATACTCACATCTATAAAATTTTAAATGATCACTGTAAAATTATAACATCCTAAGGCAGAAAAGGCAGTTTGAGCAAAAAGAGAAGGCATTTTTTTTCAGGTCAGATTGGCAATGACTTTGGGTTTATTTGCCTTCCTCTGCAGCATATGGGTGAGAGTCAGTTGCCCAGATTATCTGGGTATATCTCACTTAATAATTTCCCTGCCATTGTGGGGGCCTTGAGCACTGGTGCACCTCGGTCCCTCCCACTCTCTGCTTGTGGCACACAATAGTCTAGTCTCCTGTGGGCTGTCGTACTTTGGTCTAATTTTGGTTGTTGGTTTAGCACATAGATGCTGGATGGTGTTGGTGGTCTGTGACATATAGCAGGTCAGACTCAGGACCACTAGATCATCTTCCAGCTTTAAATTCTATGATTCTACGAGAATTATTTTTCAAGGCTCTGAGTGGACAAACACTTATGCACGTGAGTAATTTTATACAAATCAGTAGTACCACTGAATTACTGCATAAGTGTTTTCAGGATCTGGGGCAAAGATTTTAATTATAGTCCTGAACGAGAGTCCACTGAAGTCAGTTATCTTTCTATTGCCTTCAGTGAGGGCTGGATCAGGCCCTGTGTGAACATAGGGGGTTCTTTTTTATATCATGCAGAGCTAATATAATCCCTTCTTCCAAAGTGTAAACAAGAAGCATAAAGCCCAGTAGATGTTTCCATCCTAGGATTGTGTAAAATGCTGTAATTTTTTTTTTTTTTTGGGTTGCCTCAGAGTTCTTCAGGTAGATTAATAGCTAATACAAGGGGGTTACACAGAGTATGTTCTCCTCAATATGTGTGCTACTCCCACTAATATTTAAGGCTCATCTCCTTACAAATAGAACAGAGTGCATAGTTATTAGCAACCAATTGGCATTTATGATTTGTAACATTCTGGTTTAGTTTTCTAAGAACTTTTAAAAACATTTTAAACCATTTACCCGATTCAAAAATCTTTGGTTGAACACTAAAATCAATAACCGCATCTTTTACCTTCTCTGTTTTTTTGCCCTTGTTAAAAACAGTAAATTTCCATTGTAAATGCCTAATACTCTGGCTTGTGAGTAAGCTCACTGCAGAAGATAAGACAGTTTGTTTGGCCATTTAGGATTTCATTGTCTACACAACCTAGAGTCCTTTGTATCTTTCTCCTCTTCTACATCACACAAACATATATACATAAGTGCCAGGTAATTTCTTAATGTCTGTTACAAGACAGAGTACTATACTCACCAGATTGTGAATCACATTTGTTAAGGTCCATGCAACAGGAACACTGAAGAAGGGAATGCTGAGCAAGACAATATGAAGCATACCAACTCCAAGTGCGTAGGTCAGCCACATTCCACGGCTGTTCATCACCCTGGTGTTTGGATTTACCTCGCTATGGGCAACTCCTACGTTCATTTTGCTCTATAAAAATAAAATTGTATGTAGACTGATATCACAGGATTCATATATAAGAGATAGTCAGTATATCTCACATCTAATGTTAAGACCAGGAGAGAGACTATTATTATAAATAATCTCTAATGGGGTAACATAGCTAGAAAGAGCATGTGTATTGGGTAGAACACAGGACTTTGAAGTCAAAAGTTCTGTCTTCTGACATTGACTCATAGTTTGATCTTGAATATCTGTACAACAAGATTAGAGGATTGCCATTCTGAAACCTAGAATATCCAAAGAGTCAGTATGTAGTGATGGAAACAGTTACAGCCATGGTTGAAGTTCATAATATCCCCAGGTTGAGTCATCACTGGGACTCATGGTCTGTTACTGTCCAATTTTTAAGTTCTCACCCATTTTAACTTTACAAATTATACCTATGTGGTGTACAGCTACAGTATGATCTGTAAAAAAGAAAAGGAGTACTTGTGGCACCTTAGAGACTAACCAATTTATTTGAGCATAAGCTTTCGTGAGCTACAGCTCACTTCACGAAAGCTTATGCTCAAATAAATTGGTTAGTCTCTAAGGTGCCACAAGTACTCCTTTTCTTTTTGCGAATACAGGCTAACATGGCTGTTATTCTGAAACCTGTTAGTATGATCTGTATTTATGTTATGCCAAGTACCCTAGAGACCATTGTTACAACATAGGTAATTCAGCCGGTCACCATCCTTACTGTACAGCAAATTTGCATGTGGCAATTTTATTAGGTTGCGCGAGGGAGAATGCATGTATGGTGGACTATTTGTCCGAACTGTAACACCTGTGCGTCCAACTGCCACCCATACAAATCAACACATCTTCCAGCACCACCTCCTAGACACAAACACAATCACCTGACACATGCAGCACAAACCCCTCATTTTCTACTCACACAAATCCATACAACTTTTCCAGTGCAATATAACCCACACACAAATCAACACAATCATCCACACCACACCCCCAAACATCAGTCTGAAGACTATAATGTAAGTTGAATCAGTGTGAAGTGATGGAAATAGTCTCAACAAATAGACCTCTCAACCACGCTTGTAGCCATCACCAGGTTCAATCACCACTGGGATTTGCAATTTGTTACTTAAAAAAAAACAAAAACAAAACACACCCAACGATTCAGCTACTAGAATAACTCAAGCATTCTGTACCTCAGTTTTCCTACCTGATAGGGTTTTGTTTGGCTTAATGTTTGCAAAGGGCTTTGAGATCTCTAAGTGAAAAGTGCTTCACAATAATTTATTTGCCTGTGAGGCGCCTGAGGTGGAGAAGTCCCGGTCCTCCTCTGCCCCACCCCTTTGGTCCTGGGTTCTAAAATGCCATCTTCCATTTTTATCCATCACTTGTTAAAAAATGGTGCCTCATTCATGGTGTCATGGCTTGTAAGGCTAGAACTACTTCTACTCATTTTCTAGAAAAATATATTTCTCGCCGCCTAAAACAGGCCAACTGAAGTTATCAGCCTAGCAAGATTAGATAGACAGATCAATCTTGCAAACCACAGATTCATCTGGGGTGATGCTGTTTGCAGTGAGTTCTTGCACAAACCTATTTCCAAATCTGCACATAAAAGGATGAATTACAACGCTCAAATCAGAAACACTCTCTGCCTTCAAATGTGGTAGTGGTTCCCACCATCAACAAAACAGTTTAAGGGGAGAATCCAAATTGTTCTAGTACTGTATATAAATTGTAGAAATCACCCAAGCCTTGGCCTCTGCAATGTCTTCTAATTTAATCAGCTTAATAAGAGAGGGGGTGAAGGGATAGCTCAGTAGTTTGAGCATTGGCCTGCTAAACCCAGGGTTGTGAGTTCAATCCTTGAGGGGGCCATTTAGGGATCTGGGGCAAAAATTGGGGATTGGCCCTGCTTTGAGCAGGGGGTTAGACTAGATGCCCTCCTGAGGTCCCTTCCAACCCTGATATTCTATGATTGACTCTCTCTCTCAACCACAAAGATGAGCTCTGGTTCTGGCCAGAATCCAAGCCATTTTTTGGCGTATTGAAACTTTTTAAGAGGAATGAAACACAATGGATGAACTATTCTTTACAAACTATGAATGCATATAACATTATATAACTTTTCATCTCAATGCACTTTAAAGTTCTACATGCCAGACCACAGAAAGGCAGCCACCTCTAGAGCGGAAGACAGCACCCAAATGGCATTCAGCACATTTCAGAAAAAGGTGTATGTGAGATGTGCATATGAGAGGTGACCGTTGTTTGGGAACTGAGGGGAAATAGGATATATTAAGCAGTGAGAATAGTGCAATCTGTACTCTTATGAAAAGCCTCAGATGTTTTTCATTGTCAATGCAAGCTAGTGAGAGCTCAGTTCTAAGGTGTCAGCTGAAAGGCATATACAGTAAACTTGAATTCCATGCAGTTTATTGTCTCAGAAGGAAAAAGGAATTAGCTGGTCCTCTGATTTCAGGGGCTCTAGGTGCATCCCCTCAGTCTGACAAGTAGGACTGTAGTTCCTTTTCTTTACAGATGGCCCCTGACCAAGAGACCTCCTGGTCAAACTCTAATTGTTAGCTCTATTTTCAGCCTATATTTAAGGTAAATTGTGTTTCTAGTCCACACGCTGATGCTGCCTCTTCCATGTTGGGTGCTGAGGCTGGGCAGGGATAAATGGGGCAGAAGTGATTTAGTGCTACTGACTTCTTTTTTTAACCCCTTTTGCTACCATGCTGCAATAAGGGCTTTTCCAAGCCAGCTAGACCCTTAGAGAACAGTACAGCACAACTGTAAGACAGAAACTTCACATTAAGGTCTGATTAATGAAAAACCAGTTACAGAAAGTTTAAAAGCAAAACAATTCCCACCCTCCTTAAGAAAGGGATAGATAATAAGACAGAAAATATCATATTGCCTCTATATAAATCTATGGTATGCCCACATCTTGAATACTGGATAGACTTGGAAAAGGTTCAGAAAAGGGCAACAAAAATTATTAGGGGTGTGGAATGGCTGCCATATGAGGAAAGATTAATAAGACTGGGACTTTTCAGCTTGGAAAAGAGACGACTAAGGGGGGATATGATAGAGGTCTATAAAATCATGACTGATGTGGAGAAAGTAAATAAGGAAGTGTTATTTACTCCTTCTCATAACATAAGACTTAGGGGCCACCAAATGAAATTAATAGGCAGCATGTTTAAAACAAACAAAGGAAGTATTTTTTCACACAACACAGTCAACCTGTGGAACTCCTTGCCAGAGGATGCTGTGAAGGTCAAGACTATAACAGGGTTCAAAAAAGAACTAGATAAATTCATGGAGGATAGGTCCATCAATGGCTATTAGCCAGGTTGGGCAGGGATGGTGTCCCCAGCTTCTGGCAAACAGAGGCTAGGAACGGGCAACAAAGGATGCATCACTTGATGATGACCTGTTCTGTTCATTCCCTCTGGGGCACCTGGCACTGGCCACTGTCAGAAGACATGATACTGGGCTAAATGGACCTTTGGTCTGACCCAGTATAGCCATTCTTATGTTCTCCTCACATATGCATACACACATATAGTGGCCACTGCTACAGTTAATCTGTTTGAAAAGCCATTTATCAAGTTAAGTGTTGGTCAATTGTTTTTGCCCCTTCTAGCTTCATCGTCACACACAATTTACCAAAGAGAGATCAGATTCTGATGTCACACCTGCCCAAATGCAGAGCAAGCCCAGTGAAGCCAATGGAATTAACTCCAGATATAGTCTTCAGGGTAATAGAGATTAGAATCTGGCCCACGAAATTTTAAAACGTTTCAGAAGACAGTGAGTGTCCCCAGGCCTGTAAAATGCTTTAGTTCTCGACCACTTGAATACAGAGTTTTTAAGGCAGGTGCCAATCGTTGAAAAGAGGAATAACTATCCTTCTATCATATACTAGCAATGAGTTCCCTATTAAAGCAAGAGGCCAGCTACTCTATATCCCAGCTGAGAGGCAGATACGGGTAAAACCTCTACTCCCCCCCATCATGCATCTTCGCTATTTTGCAGATTGCAGCATGGGAGACTACACACACTCTCTCTACAAAGCAGCTTCACTCACAGACAATAGCCACTCTAGATCCTGATTCTAGCTACCTGCATTCAGTGTGAATTTGAAAACTTCCCTTCGTTTCATTTTCTGCTCCATCGGGGCCAATCTGCCATACAATCAGGGCAAAGGCAGACGTCAAAGCCCGCCAGCAAACTAGATCCATTTGCTGCAGGGCAGAGATCCCATGCACTGAAAGATAGGACCCTTTATAGAAAAACAGGGGTAGGCCCCTATCCAAGCCGCAGCGCAAGAGACTGTGTGTGTGCAGGGGCCTGCTGCTGCTTTGTTACCGGAGGAGTGCAGCCCTCTTTGTGGGGCCCTTTGGATCTGGGTTGTACACAAACCACCTCGCACAACTACGGCAGCCCCCTTTTCCCCTGGGCACAACCCTCCTCCCCGCTGCTCCATCCGACCCACAGCAAGAGGAGAAGGGGACCTACCGCCTGGGCTCGCCTCCCCTCCGCGGCGCCGAGCCGAACCGATCGCCCCGCTGCCGAGCTCGCCGCTCCCAACCAGCTCTCCGGCGGGTTGCCCGCTGCGGAGCGCGGCGCTGCTGCCGTACGCGCCAGCCGCCTAGTGGTGCAGGCGGGGGCGGGGGCGGGGCCAGCAGCGAGGCGGGGCCAGCGATCCCCCCCCCCGGGGCCCTGCGCGCCGCAGAGCGCTGCGGAGCCGGGACGCGGGAGCTAGACTCGGCGGGAGCGGCAGGTAATGGTGCTACGCTCACCTGCAGGCGCCGATGGCCCGGAAGCAGGCGGCACTGGGTTGATCTTTGGCGCGGAAGGCGGCTCTAGCGCAACACGTGTAGCGGGGGGGGGTCCCTGTTTGCCTCCGCCATAGGCCACAGGTAACAGCGGGAAGGGAAGAGACAAGTGCCTCGGCCGGGCCCCGAGGGAAAGGCCGGTGGCGAGGAGGAGCCTGATGGTGAGAAACGCCGAGCAGCCTCTGCCGAGTGTAGCGGGAGTCGTGGGTGCTCCCTCAGCTCCTCTGGGAACGAGGCCGGAGGTGGACAACTGTCTCATCCCTCAGCAAGGCCCAGGAGGTGGAGAGGGGAGCACAGGCTGAGGGGGGCAGGTTTCAATTGCTAGTGCAGGGAGTTTAAAATAACATTGGATTGTTAAAAGAACAGGAGGACTTGTGGCACCTTAGAGACTAACATTTATTTGAGCATAAGCTTTCGTGAGCTACAGCTCACTTCATCGAATGCAGCTCACAAAAGCTTGCGAAAGCTCATGCTCAAACAAATTTGTTAGTCTCTGAGGTGCCACAAGTACTCCTTTTCTTTTTGCGAATACAGACTAACACGGCTGCTACTCTGAAACCTATCATTGGATTGTTAGCTTCACTGGTATTTGCTGTCACTTCATGTGTGTAGTTCCGCACTTTGATGTGAATAAGGTACAGCAGTACAGGTGAAATGATACTAAAGTGTGAGATAAGCAGGTAAATGTGGGTTTAAAAGTGGGGAGGGAGTAGACAGTGCAGTAAACAGAGGCTTTTTCAGGGTCAGTCTCAGACCATGGGGATGAACGCCCCCAAGAACTCAGGACCATCACAAACCTTCACCAACTTTTTCTCCACGTAATAGGTGCACTTCTTTGACCTGCCTTCTCTAACAAACACATAGCAGCATCTATATTAAAAAAACAAACAAACCCAACACACTACTTGAAGGCACTCAGACACTATGGTGATGGGTGTGGTATAATAATCTATATAGAATAAAATAGGCTAGGGACTTTAAGAGGCTTGTGTGTATGGTTAGTTTTTGCAACAGTTTTTCCAGAGCATGAAGTTCTCACTGCTGTAGCGATTATCTTAGAAGTGGATATACACTGTATTATCAGCTAATGGGGTAACAACTCCTTTCCCCTTCCCCATACGCACACTGTTAAAGTTATGGTTGAGATTTTCCATGCACAGATATCCAGAGATTCAAATTTATGACCCTCACAACAACAATTGTAATTCAACCAGTTTCCACATATGCCCTGCTTTGGTTGCAGTGTGTATGGTTTAACCACCAGAGAGTCCAGCTCTGCCACCTTTTGATCTTTGCCCTTGTCCTGTGAGAGAAATAATCTTGTCTTTTTTTATTTAAAGACTGACTATTCTTAATGAACAGGCAGAAGGATGCCCAGGTTGAAGGGAGGTCTCTGTGACTAATATATAGAGACCAGTCCTCTTTCCACAGCCCAGTCCAAATGCCCTTTTCTCTATAAAGGCATTGGTGTGGAGGAAAGAAACCCTCCATCTAGGGGCTCACAGTGGTAACAGGACTGCTCCCATGTCCTTATGGAGCAGTCTATGTAGCTGCCCCCCTTCCTCTGAAGTCAGTGGCCTCTGATCCTGTTTGTTGACAGATCCCCTGTTCCCTGAATAGTTGCTTCAGGTAGGCCATGTGGAGCTGGACTCCATAGTGGGCAAGCAGTGTGCACCCTATGTTAGATTGTGAGTTTTACCACTATCCTATGGAGTGTCCTTTATATAGAGTTGTCTGCTCTCACAGAGGAAGGGGGAAAGATGTGGGGCTGTTGTGCATGAATAGCTGTGGCTGAGATCCCTTCTAAAGGTCCACTGCTTGCTTCTGTCAACGTAGACTATCCCCAGAACTTAGTGTCAGTGATACTTATGGTCAAATAAAAACATTCAGCAAGCTGAAGTTGGAGTTTTGTGTTTTGTTTTTACACAATCAGTCATGCTAATTTCAATTTAAAACACAGTGGGGAAATATCAATATTTACCAACTGATTAAGGGTAAACTTTGCAGAGGAAATGCTCAAGTGTCTGAGAGGACACTGTAAAATCAGTAGTTTAAAAATTATTTGAAATGCTTATTAAAATTCTCTGTCACTGTCCTTTTTAAAGACAAAGCTAATAATATTATAGTTGGCATGTATATAACAATTTAAATCTTCAAAGAGCTGTATAAACATTAACTAATATCCACCTTATTGCCCCAATTCTGCCATTATGCGTGTACTTTACATGTGAGTATAATTAGGTTCAAGGTATGTAAAGGTAAGTATAAGCATTTGCAGGATCAGGATGTTAGATTGTGAACAGTTCAGTGCAGGGAATATGTCTTTATCTTTATTTGTAAAGCACTGTGTATGTTTTATGGCAGTATGTAAGTGTTTTATAAGTAATAATAGAACCCCTTTGTGGCAGGTATGGTAAGTATTATTCCCATTTTACTGATAAGGGATATATAGAAACAGAGAAATTAATGACAGGTTTCAGAGTAGCAGCCATGTTAGTCTGTGTTTGCAAAAAGAAAAGGAGTACTTGTGGAACCTTAGAGACTAACAAATTTATTTGAGCATAAGCTTTCGTGAGCTACAGCTCACTTCATCGGATACATTCAGAAATTTATGACCTGCTTAAGGCACATGGTGAGTCTATAGAAGAGTCAGGATTAGAGTTTTGGAGTCCTTGGCTTCTATTCTCATGCTTCTGCCCTAGTCCACACTATCACTGAATATGACCATTTCTAACAGACCAAAACCCAGCCCTCTGTGGGCCATATTCTGCTCTTAGATTGTACATAACTCCAGTTAAGTCAATATGCGTTACAGCCTCACAACATATCTGAGTAATAGCTCAGTAATTTTAGGTAGACTTTAAAAAGCCTGATGTCAGAAGGGTTAGAAAAAAGAGGGGTTTGTGACTTTCAGATTTTGGCACCAATCCTGGGCTCCTCATGGTCAAGAGGGGTCCACCTATACAGATATGATTTAGGATCAGGACCATATATTGTAATCATTTAATCAAGGAACATGTAAGTGCTCTCATTGGTATTGAACAGAAAACAAATGTACCTGAAAAAATAACCATGGGACTATGTACTGTTTTGTCCGTTGCTCAATATTACTCTGAATCCTTGCATTGTCTAATGTAGAAGTTCTCTACTGTCAAACTAGTGTTTTTCTGATATAGGGCCTGACCCTACACAAGATCTCTCCTTGTGAATGTATAGTTCTTACTGTTTCCCTAATTGCATGATTCACCTAACTAAATGTAATGCATTTTTGATAATTGAAAAGTGATTGAATAAAAATGTCATCATGTTTGTAATACACTCTTTAAATTCTTGTTCTATTATCTCTTTCCATCCAGCTCCTCTGATTCTAAAAGCCCAGGGATGAAGCAGTTGCCAGCTGAAACTGTCCGGCTCCTTTCAAGTTCTCAAGTGATCACATCAGTTGTTAGTGTAGTGAAGGAGCTGATAGAGAATTCCTTGGATGCCAATGCCACAAGCATTGATGTTAAACTGGTAAGTCTTCTCTGGTATTAAGTTAGACTTAAGATGGAAAACTGGATGGTAGTATACTGGGGAAATTTCTCCTGTTATGTAAGGGTGTAAAAGTCTCCTTTTAAAAATATACATCAATTATAAATATGTATATTTTAATGCTAAAGTTAATGGGCAAAATTCTGCTAGGAGTTACATCTAGGCATTCCTCTTAAGGTCACTGAGCATGTAGGGGTGTAACTGAGGACATAATTTGGGCCAATGAGCAGACCTAATGAATCATTGTAAACTTGCTTTAACATATCTGTCTTTATAAAAACACCAGAAATGACACTGCCTGAACAGTGGTTGGTTTAGAGATTGTTGGCCATACTAGTTTAGTTTTCGCACTTACGGGCACAAATGTGCGAACACCTAAACCCCGTTCTTGCAAAGAAAACCACCTAGTGGACCTCCATGCCCATTTAGAGCCTCACTGAAGTCAATGGAATTTTACATAGTTGTCACATTTCACATTTGATTAATAGGATGCAATCTTGGCATGCAGCAGGAAAACAAGTATGAAAAATGTTGTCATTGGCCATGTCAGAGGCTGTTTTTCAGGCTTTTGTAACTAGAACATTTAACTTTTTATTTTTTCAAAGTCTTCAGATGGTACTAATCAGAACAGTACCTTTTATAATATTTTTTTTAACAGGATATTTTAAAAGTTAGCATGTTACCAAAAAATATTGGCTGAAGCCAGAAGAAAACAATGCTTTCTTTCCCAGATAAAAAAAACTTGGCAAATAGATCAGTTTCTCTTGATGCAGAAAATTTTCTATTCTTTAAATATTTCAGCGAATGAAAAATAACGTTATTTCGTTGCTAAGTACAAAATGTCACTGATGCATGTTGTAAGAACTGGTTTGTTCACCATGTAGAAATCCCAATGTCCTTTCTTAGAAAGTATAGTAGATATTTGAGTTATTCCCAAATTGCAAACTCAAATACCGAGTGGCAGACATGGGGGCCAATATAATTTCCACCAATTTCTTGGATTGCTTCCCCTAAACTACAAATATCACTGTGTTATCTGAATGGGATTTCAAGCATCTCCTATCTGTGCTCCAGCCTCCCTCAAACACTGAACAAGGTGCTCATTTGCACTGTCTGCATCAGCTGAGATGGAGACACAGTATTTTCTTATGATCGGTTTATTAAAGGTACTGTCATCATTCATGCCTCCTAACTACTCATGTTTAGTAGTATCTTACTCCATTGGGAATGCTCATGGAGTACAATAGTATTTCACTTGTGAGTAAGGGTATCAGAATCTGGACCTTTTCAAAACTTGTGGAAGCCCACAGAAAGTCAGTAGAAATTTTCAGTGGTTATTGTGTATGACCCCATCTCTCGTAGTGAAATCAAGCGTACTTCTAACAAGAGGAGTGAAAATGAGGAACCCCCAGCAATAATAAGAAAGAGCCTTCTGGATCTCTCAGCTAGGAAAGAATAGACCCACTCAAGAACAAATCCAGTCACTTCTGCATCTAAGCTCATGATCCACGATGTTGAAGGCAGTTGATAGATATCAAACATCCATACTGGTATTATCATCATTACCAATTGCAAGAAGGAGATAAAATAAAGCAACAAGGGCTGTTTCTGTGTCATACCCACATCTGTAACTAGTGTGACAAGGTTCAAGGAGATGTGATATGTCTAGATACTGTGTGAGTTCCCTTGCAACATCCTACTTAATACTGATCTTAATCAAAAGAGGAAGATTCAAAACTTCTTGATAGTGAGCTAAATTGCCAACATCATCTTGAGGGGATGACAGGCTGACATCTGATTTTTAGGAATCGTGTACATAACTTTTGCTTAATAAACAATCTGTAGACATTGGCAGTTTCCACCAGCAATTGACCCAGTACACCTCTCCTTCCTCCCGACCATCACATGCTGTTTCTCACTAGCCACTGGCAACATGGGTCTGAATATCAGGTTGTGGTTTGTAGTTCACCCATTACCCCAGTATCTCAGTGAGTCATATGGGCCAAAACTTAAACAGAAAAAAACCTAACTTTGTCACCTCAAGATATCATTCTGCTACCATAGATGCAGAGAGCTCAGCCCAAATTCAAAGAAATTGTACTGCAAAATACCTAGAAGTTTCTTTACAACAGGAAGTATTTGAATCAGCAATCCAGTGGAGATGCCCTAGATTAATCTGGATTTTAATAACTCGAAACAAAGTTTCTGATCAAGATTTTATGGAGGCACTGGAGGCTCTTTGTACAGTCACACACTATAACACCATGGATTCTCATTATTTTGGGGTTTTTTTTTTTGTGAAATAAGAATACTTTATATTAACATACTATTTTTATTGGCCACAATTTAAATAAGATTGAAAACATAATGCATGCCCACAATTACGCTAACTCTGCATAGGTTCCAGAGTGCAGCAGAGAACATGAAACTTTTACAAAATTACTGTTCAAACCTTGCCTCTTCCAAAGAATATTAAGGGCCCAATTTCTCATTTATAGGAGTAATCCTTACAAGAAGAGTCTTACCCTCGCCTCTGAAGAAAATTAATGGCGTAGTACTGCAAACCTTGTTCACAGGAGTAATCTTTACTTGTTTCAAGGAAACTACTTTGTGTGAGTAAGGATTCCAGTGTAAGGCGGACTAGGTGGCTCAGGTGACAGATACAGTTTAACTCTGATTATCCAAAATTTGGAAATGTCCTAAAATTTGTTTTTTTACAAGCTCTGGCTTTTCTGAAATTCCATGTCCTACACTGATGGTGTTTGCCTGAAACATACCACCCTGTTAACAGGGAAAGCTGTGGGTGGGTTCATCAGACTCACTGAAATAGGTGGCTTGTTAGTCCAGCCAGATACAATGGAGGCGGGAGTGGCTCTTTGGATAGATAGTGTCTAAGGCAGCGTTTCTCAAATGCCGCCACCAGGGGTTTTTCCTGCAGCCATGATAGCCTCCTGGCTAGAGATGGGAGAGGGGCAAAGCCAAGGGACTCCGGGGATGGACTTCAGCCCCCTCTCCCGCCAGCTTCAGCCATGGGGGTCTGGTACTGGGCTTCAGCCCAGGGGGGCGGAGCTTCAGCAGGGCCAGTCTTACTAGGCGTCATGGTCAAGAGGCAAGGAGTAGGGTGAGCCTGGGATGTGAGGCCATGGAATTGAGCTCAGGGCAATGTGGGGAGGAAGTAGCGGGGCCTGTGAAGGTGATGGGGAGAGTAGGGGAGTGGGTGAAGACAGCAGGGATCAGGGGGATCTGAGGAGGACAGGGAAAGGCACCAAGACCAGGGGAACCAACTTACAACTGTACATTATTATTGAGTCTGCAAAAAAAACTCCTACATAAATAAATTATGATTTGGACATGTATATGTGCATATTTATTTGTTTTTCCTAAAGTTAATGAAGTATTTTAGGAAAATTTGTCAGAGTGGCCACCAGCAAGAGTTGGTGGCTGCATTCTGAGGCCACCAAAAATTTTGTTCTGAGAACCCCTCTAGGGTGTGGATTAAACAGTCCTGATATAAGAACCTTTAGCGCAACCAAGAAAGCTTAAGCAACTGTTATTTTATTATTAGTTTCTTGTTTAAAAAAGCTAAGCCCCAGGGAGTGGGGGATTAGTTTTTGACTACAGTGTGTTCAGACCTTCTTTTACAGAAGGTTGGGAAAGGCATCTGCTCACACTGGAGTTCTGCATAAATTCCCAGAGCAATTTGCATAATCTGGTTTGTGTCTATATTTCATTGCTAGGTCACTGTCTGTAATTCAACCAAGGGAATTTCTGAAAGTTGACACCTGATTTCTGTTTATTGACACACAATGAGTTGATGGTATCAGTCCAGTTCCTAATGGACAAGTGTATACATCAGAGTTGGCTTTCTTGTTGGCTATCACTGTCTCAGCAGCTAGCCCAAGATTCAGTCTCTGCTACCCTCTTGGTTTGTTTGCTCCAGGTCAGGTCTGAAGCATGTTAGTTCATTGATGGGGCAGTGTTACATTGCCACTGCATGTGCTATACCTCTGAATAAAGAGAAGACGTAGGCCATATCTACAATACCCCCAATTTTGTCAGTATAACTTACGTCGCTTAGGGGTGTGAAAAAAATACCCCCTGAGCAACATAATTTACACCACAGAAGCGCCAGTGTGGGCAGCGCTATGTCAGCAGGAGAAGCTTCTACCGCCAACATAGCTACTGCTGCTCATGGAGGTGGTTTTATTTTGTCAACGAGAGAGCTTTCCCATTGGCATAGAGTGGCTACATGAGCGATCTTACAGCAGCGCAGCTGCATCTTTACAGCCATGCCATTGTAAGCTCACTATTGTACACATGGCCTTAGTTTTCAGAGCTGTCTGTATGTCACCTTTTTGAGTAACATCTTAAAAATGAAAAAAAAGAAACAATTTTGCAATAATGATGGAAGTCTGACTTAAATCCACAAAGGAAAACACTATCATTAAAATAAAACTGTAATGTAAAATAAAAGATGAAGTAAAACGTTCTTGTGACTAGAGCCTGGAGATGAGACTTAGGAGATGTGGATGTTATTTGCAGCTCTGCTACTGATTTGTTGAATGACCTTGGACAAATCACTGAGGCCTCTCCTTGCTTCAATTTCTCCATCTATAAAGTGGTAGTATTAAAAAGTAGCTACGTCAGGAGGAGATTTAACTAATTAATGCTTGTTCAGCTCTTTGCTGTCTTTTAATGAAGGTTCTATCAAGTAATAGTGTTATATTATTCTAATTACAAAGAAATGGAAACCAAGATGAACAGGTTACAGTGTGTCAGATATAACAAAAAAGAATTAATATAAATCAGATAATGTTGCTCACAATGGGGAAGCATGGGAATGATACGGAATTAATAAGGTAATGGCTGTCTTACTAATGATATTACTAATATCTAGTTACTAATTAATTAATTACTAATACTAATGATATTACTAATGATACTAATAATGTGCCAGCAATCCCCCTCTGTCATGTATGTTGGCCAAACTGGACAGTCTCTACGTAAAAGAATAAATGGACACAAATCAGACGTCAAGAATTATAATATTCAAAAACCAGTTGGAGAATACTTCAGTCTCTTTGGTCACTCGATTACAGACCTAAAAGTGGCAATTCTTCAACAAAAAAACTTCAAAAACAGACTCCAAGGAGGGACTGCTGAATTGGAATTAATTTTGCAAACTGGATACAATTTACTTTGGCTTGAATAAAGACTGGGAGTGGATGTGTCATTACACAAAGTAACTGAATTATTGGCAAAAATATCCGTTCTCACTGGGAGAAAGCACCAGTACCATTCACCCTAAGGAAACAGGGATTCTAAAACCTGATGTGCCCATTTGTTTTTATAGATATAATTATATAATAATTCTAATTCAGGGGTTCTTAAATTGTTCCTTAGTGCAGACAATATCTCAATAAAGAGATTGTTTTTGGATACCTTCCCTCCCATTTTAGGATTGCATAACATCCCTGTGGCACTTATGGCAATTGTTTACATGGAAAAGTAGTGCTAGAAATGTCTTCAGTGCATTTTACCAGCTCGAAACAAGGGAAAAAGTCAGTACTATTCAGCCAGTGAGCTTTCGTAGACCACAGGCAATTGTTCTGTGGACCACATGGTCTATGAACCAGTATGGGAAGTGCTGATCCAAGATATTGTAGTTTATCAGTGCTGATTTCTTTTAAAATTATCACACTAGTTTTAACTCACCCTGTTGTGCTGTGTACTCTTGTATATTAGATCATAATCTGTTCAGAGAGCCATTCAATAAATGGGAGAAACAGGTTGAGTTAGAGATCCTGTTGTTCTTTGACTGTGAATCTCCTTGCTTGTGCCTGCATTATAACATTTGTTTTGTTATATCCAAATTACAGTACAGCAAACAGCAAAACTTTGTTACAACGCCCCTGAGTCACGTGGTTCCTCTCATTTAAGCTCCTTCTTTAATTTAGCCATCTTGGTTTAGTTATTTATGATTTTAGACCTGCATCTTTTTAATATTATTTTTTTGTTAGATGTTAATATTTGTCATCTCAAAATTAAAATAGTGGAAAAACTTCTCCCAGCAAGAAAACTATATATATGTTCAGTCCTGTTTGTTTGAAGGGCCATCTGCCATTTAGAGGGATATTTAACAAGTCTTTTGAATCTATCACATTGAACTTATTTGAGTGTATTTAAGGCATCATTTTGACAAAAAATTGTACAGCACGATCCACTGCTCATTCTTTTTAAAAAAAATTTTTTCATTAAAGACAACCTACAAACGGAAAAAAAAAGTTTGTTTCTTTCTGATCTATAAAGAAAGCCTGAAACTTTAAGTCCCCACTGCCGCTCCTCTGGCCACTTACGCAGAACACCAGGTTTGGTGTAATATGGACTACTCTGTGATGACAGGAGAACTAGTGAAATGGTAATCTCATAAAAGCAAAGTGTGAATGTTGAACAATGAGAGGAGTATGGATTTGTAGTCAGATTGTTAGTGTTTTGTTTTTATTAACACCAATTTAAATCCCATGATTAATGTTTTGAATAAAGCAAGCTTTTGTTCAAGATTCAACATCCTTGCCCCTTTCAATTCAAGTTGCCAGAGGTTATAGTAAATATCACAGATACCTCTCATAGGTCCCCCATTAAAAGCAGAGGGAGAGCTGACTTCATATTCTTGATGTCTCTAAGGTGAAGAGATGAGCAAAACAAAAATGTGACCTTTGCCTTCCCCTCCCCTCCCCAACATCCAGACCTTCTCTATATCCCATAAAGAAGCAAAAAAGTACACAGATGTCATTTTAAAAAATCCTTGTAGGTCCTTCTTATAGATTTGGTAAGATAGGTCCCAGTTCCTTTAATGTGTGCAGAATCTAGCCTGTGATGATTAGATAAAGTGGAATACATTAACAAAACATGCATTTCCCTTTGTAAAAGGGAGGGAAGATGGAACAAGAATGAACCATCTTTAACATTTCAGTTACTGATCTTTTTCTCAGTTTATATTCTATAAAGTCATGAGCTAGATTTTGAAATACTTTTAGTGTGTTAGCCCATACTGTAATAGTAGAACTACATAGTTTAATATATTACTTGTTTTGGAACAGCATAAAATTACTTAACTGTTTCATTTTTGCTCTGTACAAGTTTGTATAGATAAGTTATGTGCACATATGTGCTGCAGTCTCTCCACATGGAAATGTCAGAATTTTGCCTATTTTAAGGACTAAAGGACTGGACCCTTAACTACTTCAATACATGTGGATTAACCATTGTATATAGTATCTAATTTTTCATTTGAGATGTATTTTTGTGATTGATGATATTATTACTCTTTTTAGGAGAATTATGGGTTTGATAAAATAGAGGTGCGAGACAATGGTGATGGCATCAAAGCTGCTGATGTTCCAGTTATGGCAGTTAAGCATTATACCTCAAAAATAAGCTGTCCGGAGGATCTTGAAAGCTTGACAACCTATGGCTTTCGTGGTGAAGCCTTGGGATCAATTTGCTGCATATCTGAGGTGAGATGTGTCAGACTTTCTTGCTCTCTTAAACAATTACAAAATATAAATGTGAGGACTTTAGGTTGTGCCCACAACCTCACAGTAGAATGCTGGCTTTTATTTTTAAATGTAGAATTTGGAGAGTTTCCTATCTCTCTGCTGGTTCTTCTGCTACAGTGAAGCCACAAAGCTGCAAAGCTTGCTCATTTTGAATTCACTTTGGGATCAGTCATTGGCTCCTTATCAGATCAGTTTGGTAGTTGGTTGTGTTTCACTTTCTTGCCTCATTTGGGGAGGCAACTATTTGCACTGTGCCCTGATCCTTTCCTTTGAGTCCAATGTACGGAGGCACTCCGGAATTCTCTCATTCATCATTCAATCTTGCTGTTCTTACATCAATTGCCTTTAAATTATCAATGTGATCTGCAGTCGTGAGATCTGGTTGGACTCCTCATTGTTCCTGGCTATTCAAATATCTATGGCTGCAAAAACACCTTGTTTCGCCTTTGAGTAACCAGGAGCCTACACTCTCACCTGGTCACAATGATCCATGTATTTATGACCATTACAACTGAGCATTGCAGTGCACTACTATCTAGGAATGAAACTGCTTACCGCAAAAAAGCTCTGTTTTCAAAATACAACAGTCTACTAAGCAGTACAAAGCGTTGAGAGCACATCGTCCCATTGCTTTTCTGTGCACTTTCTTCCCACCTGAATACTGAGTCAAGTTCAAGTTTTCCATCTCTACCTTCAAAAGTCTCTGGGATAGGCTCAAACTAGCCACAGGACAATCATGACCTCCCATGACAGTTACTTTTCACTGAAACAATGGACTACAAGAGTGAGGTTTTAGTGTGGGAGTGTATGCATCCATGAAGCTTTGGTCTTGATCATACTAGAAACTAGGCAGAGTTAGGTCCAGAATTTGTATGGAAAATTCCCAAAGAAAGCCCAGGTGCTTCAGAAAGTGCTGCTGTTTGGCTGGATTATGGTCTCCTTCTGAGAAGACACTGAACCAATGACCTAGCCTGGTGATGCGGGGCACTATGCTGCTGTAGGTGCTGTCTTTCAGATGAGATGTCAAACCAAGATGTCATCTTCTGTGGACATTAAAAAGCCCCATTGTACATTTCAAAAGAGAGCAGAGTTGACACTAATGTCTTAAGTACTGGTCTCAGCATCAGTAATTACATTACTTAAATACTAGTGGTGTTTGTAATTGCAGTCTGCCTACCTAATTTGCTGCCTGTAGTTAACCATTGTCAATTATCTTTGAGAACTCTTGGAGGACTTGTGAGGTCCCAGAGAACTGAAGAAAGGCAAACCTAAGGGGAAAAAGGAGCATCCAGGAATATAGGCCAGTCAGCCTAACTTCGATACTCAGAAAGATACTGGAACAAATTATTAAACCTAGAAGGTGATAAATCATAGCCAGCATGGATTTTTCCAGAACAGATCATGTCAGACCAATCTAATTTCCTCCTTTGACAGGGTAACCAACCTAATGGATGGGGGGAAAGAGGAGATGTGATATATCTAGACTTTGGTAAGGCTTTGGACATAGTCCCACATGACATTCTCATAAACAAATAAGGTAAATATAGTTGAGATTAAATGACTATAAAGTGGGTGCATAACTGGTTGAAAGACTACTCAAAGAGTAGTTATCGATGATTCACTATTAAGATGGGAGGACATATCAAGAGGGGTCCCACAGACATCTGTCCTTTGTATGATTCTATTCAGAATTTTCACTAATGAGTTGGATGATGGAGAGTATGTTTATAAAATTTGTGGATGACACTGAGCGGGGTTGCAAGATCTTTGGAGGACAGGATTAGAATTCAAAATTACCTCTATACATTGGAGAATTGGTCTTGAAAACAACAAAATGAAATTTATGTGCAAAGCACTACACTTAGGAGGAAAAAGCAAATGCACAACTACGAAAAGGGGAATATGTGCTTGGCAGTAGTACTGCAGAAAAGGATTTGGGGGGAGTGTATAATGAATGACAAATTGAACATGAGCCAACAGTTGTGAAAAAGGCAGATGTCCTTGTGGGATGTATGACCAGGAGTGTCGTATGTAATTGTGGTTGGGTACACCAGCCCCTCACTAAGCCAGAAAGGGTGAATGAGGGGGGATTTGATAGCTGCTTTCAACTACCTGAAAGGTGGTTCCAAAGAAGATGGATCTAGACTATTCTCAGTGGTAGCGCATGACAGGACAAGGAGTAATGGTCTCAAGTTGCAGTGGGGGAGATTTAGGTTGGATATTAGGAAAAACTTTTTCACTAAGAGGGTGGTGAAACACTGGAATGCGTTACCTAGGGAGGTGGTGGAATCTCCTTCCTTAGAAGTTTTTAAGGTCAGGCTTGACAAAGCCCTGGCTGGGATGATTTAATTGGAGATCGGTCCTGCTTTGAGAGGGGGTTGGACTAGATGACCTCCTGAGGTCCCTTCCAACCATGATATTCTATGATTCTGTGACCTTCAAATGGGTGGCAATGGTGGTTCACAGAGCCGTGGAGGAGAGCAGCCGACCTGTAGTTCTGGGAGGAAAAGTATCTCCCAAGAGCCTGACCCTGTGTGATTGCCCAGAAATTGAGGGAGCTATGCTGGAGGTGGCTGAAGCTGGAAACCTGGTTCAGCATTCAGATCACTGAACGTATACTGGTAGAATAGTTTGTGCAGATACTCCCGGTTGCAGGAAGAGATGGCATACTGAAGCACTGACACAAGACGCTCACAGAGACAGTTCAGCTGATGAAGAATTATATGGCTTCTGAGGCTGCATCAAGGGCACCTAGGGTGAAGCAGCTTGAGGGTCAGAGGGGAGGCCTAGCAGGGGGGATTAGCATCAGAGTGGCCAAACTTTGGGTGTGAACCAGCCACCCTTGAAAGGTCTTGGAAAGTTTCAGGGATCCTGGCCTGGCTGGACAGGGAAACCTGGACAACTTAGGTTCAAGCCCAGCCCAGAATCCTGGGGCTACCCATAGTCTCCCTGCTGAGAGGACTAGGAAACAATGGCCAGGGGCTGACCATGACCACTAATGGCTGGGAAGGTCTGTTTTTCACATGGACACCCCAGTCACTGCACCTTCATGGAGTTCAGTTATACCTAAGGAAGTTGTGGAATCACTGTCCTTGGAGCTTTTAAAGAACAGATTAGACAAACATCTGTCAGGGACAGTCTAGGTATATTTAATTCTGCCTCAGTATGGGGGGGAATGGACTAAATGACTTCCTTAATTCCCTTGCCGCCATACATTTCTAAGATTCTTCACTTCCTGACCTAAACTGATATGTATTATTGCTGTATGCTGTTAAACAAGTAGCTGTTTTTCACTCAAGAGGTGTAGCTGCATTCAGAATTATTCCTATATGAAGTTAATGTAATTTTTTTTTTAATAAAGGTCTCTAGGTTACTTCTGATGACCTTGATACTGTCCATGCAGATCATTTAAAAACTTGAAGTTGCATTATAATTCAGTTTATTAATATCTGAAAGCAATTATTTCATATGTTATTGGACTGTTGAGGTACTCTTGATTTTGGAAGAGGGGCTTTGGGTATCACCCAAACCATTCACTTTACTACTGAAAGAAATTATCAGGGCAGAAAATAATGATAATGGTGATTATTGCATTTTGGAATTACTTATGAAGAAACAGTTGTTCTAAAAGAACACTTGTGATACACCTTATGTTTTCTCTCACGAAGAACAGAATTTTTTAAAGTCTTGTTTAAATAAATTTAAGCTCAAAAAGTCAGTTTAGAAAAGTATATTATTATAGACATTGTTAAAAAAGGTATTCTTCATGTCGTATACTGGCACCTAGGAAAAAGAAGTAGAAATCTGCAGTTTTTAATCATGGGTTAGAAAATCAGTGTGTTGTGAAGTATTTTTGTCATTAGGATGATGTTCATGGAAGAAAAAACAGACTTTTTTATAAAATTATTTTTGTTCTTTTTTGTTAAAGTAACTTGATGCTGAGAATCATCTCAGAACATACCTAATGTCTTCAGACCATTTTGAACTTTTGAAATCTTTGATTGACTTGAGGTTCTTTATTTCCAGGTTTTGATCACAACAAAGACAGCTGCTGATGATTTTAGCACCCAGTACATCTTGGATAGCAGTGGGCATGTAACTTCTCAGAAGCCTTCTCATCTTGGGCAAGGTAAGGTATGCTTATTGTGATGTTTTGTGTTTCTCCTTATAAGAACAATTGGTGGTTTTTAGCCTATATATCCTACTCTGATACCCACCCATTCACATCCAAATTGAGCAGTTGTGCTGAAGAGAAACCGAAGTAAAATACTTACAGGTGCCTCACTCCTATATGATAATCTCTAGGAGCCATATCGCCGCTTTCTGTGCAAAAACCAATAGAAGGGGAAACCCAAGAAGGGGACTTGAGACGATCTATAGGGTTCTGTGAGCTGAAAAGCAAATCAATGAGGCTGGGAGGGTTGTAGAAGCTATGCACGGCTCATGCGGTGCCTCACGGTCTCAGACACCATCCAATGGTCCAGGGACATCTACATCGAACACATCACTGGCCACCGACAGTACCAGGAAGTGTGAGCTGGAACGACATCGTGCATCAACTATGAGAAAGGGACCGAGAGACTTTTTCCATTGGACCATATGAACTGGAACCATAAACTCACTGAACATTAAATCTCACCAAATGAGGGTAAATCCATCTTCATCATTGTATCCACTCATTATACTCGACACCTGAACATAGCCATTATATGAACAACGTACCCTCATATCTCAGTGTCTGTACTTTGACCCATTAACCTTTTACCCCCAATCGGGGATATTGCAGATTATGTATTCCTTATGCCATCCGATCCTAAACCGAATTTTGCACCCCTTGATAATCTGTACCTTATTCCCTGATAACCAGAAACTTCTACATTTTTTATTTTAACATCATCTTAATAAAATTATTAAATCTGTTAAAAAGAGGATAGGAGCACTTAGATACCACAGTGAACAGAGAGTGCAAGGCCTTAATTGTCCACACAGACCAGTAAAATCCTTGTGTAGATGTCCCAGCACCCCCAGTCACTGGTAAATTGGTAGGCTCATATTCTGTGTTGCCAGTGGCTTTCAACACAGCCATGATATGGAGGTGGCAATGCTTAATTCGTGCTGGGGCTTGCCAGGGCTGAGCCCAGGCACCTCTAGGTTTGGCAATTCATAGCCCTGGCACTTCAGACTTGCCATGTCAGTTATGAAAGTAGAAAAATTGCTTGAGCCCCGTCACCTCATTCGTTACAAATGAAGCACTGGGAGGTGGTCTCTTCAGTGTTGTGTTGCACAGTGAGAGATAATGTTGACATACTCAATATTAATTTGCCTATAGATTTGTTATGAACATTACATGTTTTTCCCTGTTACCATACTGTGCAGAGCGGCTGATATGACTCTGTGCCTCTGATTTTCTTGGGGTGTTCAAATGGGATGTTTTCAGCATAGAGTGGTTGACAGCCATGCAATGGAGGAGGGGGGAGAGCGTGCTGCATAGCTGCTTTCCCTCTCTGCACAGCTTTGTGGTCTCATTTCCACACCAGTAACTTGTTTTCTGCCATATAGCAGAGGGGAACAGATGGCATTCAATAAGAGGTAACATTTGGCACTAATTTCTGAGATGTCCACAAGAACTGAGTCAGTAATTCATAAATCTCCATTTAAAAATATGCTGTTTTGCAGTGAGAATTTCAGACTAAGGATCATCATTAAGAAGTATAAGTCATAGAAGAGTAGTATTGTCCCTTCCTCCAACACCAATGCCCTGTTCTGACACCAGCACTGCCAGTCTACCAAGCAATATCGGATGTCCAGGGCCTTGCAAGTTGGCATCCTAGTGGTGGTGGTGGGGGGGAAATCTGTGACATGGAGTCTGACTATATGCTAAATGTAACTTGTTTTATTTATGCACATGCACCCCTGGGAGCAGAAGTGGTCAAATGCTATGCAGGGAAATCCTTATTTCAGGAACCTTAGCCCAACACCAAATGACAGGCTCAGAGAGAGCAATTCTGCCTCAAGAACTGATTCTAATCAGAGACCCAGGCAGAGAGCAAACTCTGATTTCTCGCACAGTTGTCTCTCCAACCACCACAGCGTCTACACACAGCTTTCTTTTAATTCTTCATTGTTATTCCTGCTGGGGCCAGAGTACCTGGCTGAGATGCGAGCAACTGTATCTATGTGTGATAATGACTCAGATGTAAGGTCAGATTCTGATCTCTGTTATGCTGGTGTAAAACAGTCACAGAGATTTGAGTCTGGTCCTTGGTTTTAAGAAGTGACTCAGTGAGATCTCAAACACCAGTTACCATCTTTAGCTTTCCAGGTTCCTTCTTATATTCCTGTTGTTATGGCAGTTGTCAGCAAGTGGTGCTGTTGCATATTCCTGGTCTTCCAAGTGCTTTTTCTTCGTGTGTTGGGAAATGTTCAGTCTTGTGAAGACATGCTGTGTTGTTAGTTCACAATGTATTGTGCATGCATGAACCAAAGATTTCCTTTATTTCCTAGCCTTGTAACTATTTTTTAAACATATGGGATGAAAGCTTTGAACTTCAGATCTCTCTTTTACAACATGAATAGCCATCAACACTGTATTTGGGAAATTTTGTTAAAGGTAATCCTGTGAAGGGTCTCTGGCAGATGATACTACTGGGCACAAAGCAGAATTCCTACAAGTCTCTTCTCTGCCATGGCTAAACTGTTCTTTTTTAAAAAGCTTTTAATGGTCTGGGTGGTGCAGCAGCAAGCGAGAGTCTGTCCCACTATTCCAGCAGTGGAAAGTTGTGGAACAAACACAGGGTTGTGAGTCAGAAGAACAGAGTGACTTCAGTCGCTTAGGTCAACAATTTTTTAAAAGTTCTGTAATTTTAGGTGTCTAGAACTCTGGGTGTCTATTTTGAAACTAGGGTGACCAGACAGCAAATGTGAAAAATCAGGACGGGATGGGGGGTAATAGGAGCCTATATAAGAAAAAGACCCAAAAATCTGGACTGTCCCTATAAAATCAGGACATGTGGTCACCCTGTTTGAAACAACGTGGGCCTGCTTGTCAGAATAGCTGAGCATCCACAACTACAACTGAAGTCAGTGGGGAGCAGCTGCTTCTCCGAACCTCTGGAAATCAGGCCCTAGGTGACTTGAGATAAATTCTCAAAAGCATGGACATTTTGTACCTTAAGCTTTCCCCACCTGTAAAATATGTAATAATATCCACCTTTTGTAAAGAGCCTTGAGATCTAAGAATGAAAAGTGCTATATATGTGGAAAGTATTATTATATAGGGAGAGAAAAGTCTCTCACAACCTCAGAACATATGTAATTCTCAAAAGGAGAGCAGGCAAACTAGTAAATCTCACAGAAGTCCTGCAAGAATCAAATCAATGAGTGTCCTACAGCCTCAGCGTATAAACAAGCAGACAAACCTCTGAGGCCTCCAGTAATGAGAACAGAAAAGTCTCCCACAGCCCCACACAAGGAACAAACAAACTAATCTCTCCAGACTCTGATGAGAAGTGAACAAGGGATTTTCCCCCATCTCTAGCAGGAAAAAAATCCAGTTGCACCTGGAAGAGAAAAGAGGTCTTTTACCGAGCCAAGAAGTTATCACAGAAACTCTCTGCATTGTTAAGTAGTTCAGTTCAGCTGAGCGTCTAGCCCATGTCTTTCCTGTGTATGCTGTGCTAAATTGTTTATGATTTGAAAAGCTAGATAACGTACTCACAGGTAGCATAATCACAGTTATTTTCTAAATTCCAAAGTTTTGGAAGTTCTCAGGGCACTGGAGAACTTCTGATCTCCTCTTAGCCATACACAGGTGCTCATACGTGGCTGAGATTGAGACCAGTGAATGAGTTATAAATTGTCTGAATACAGAAAAGGTGCATTCAGTAGTACAAGAGCCATGATTTTCTTTCTTCTTGAGGAGTAGTAAAACACACACAAACATGAATTATCTGATGCATTGACAGCACCCTTCCACTTGCCACCTCCTTCTCCCTTCTTTTTCGCAGTAGACCTTTGTCCTTGTTTTGTACAGAATATATAGATTATCTTTCACATCAGTTCCAGCGTAAACTATATTTTGCTCCAGCAGAAAGATGTTTGCTGTTTACTACTCCTATCTGCTTTTGGATTGGAGGATCAACTCCGATAACAAAAGGTAAATGGAGAGTTTATTTCCCCTTGCTTCAAACAAGTCAACTCTGCAAATGTCTATCAATGAATTACACAGAGACACAGACTGTGTACAACTTCTTCCCTTTGTTGTCTTGTAATAAAGTTCAATAACCTATCATCTTATTGATAGTCAGACAAGGATAATTTTATTGCACTGTGTAATGCAGTTTTAAGCAAAACATTTTAAATATTTACAAAGTTCTTTAGTGCTAAAGGGTATCTTTCTCTGGTGCTTATGTTCTTATTATCTGTACTTCATGTTTTATCTCTCACATACTGTACACCAACTTTTCAGTAAAGCTAATTATCAAAAGAAAGGTTGGGTGGTCAAGCTGGAGTTCCTGGAAAGTCCTAGAATTCTACTACCCTTGTAATGAGAAACAATTGTGTTGTATTAAGGAGGCACAAGAGATTGGTTGATATCATAAAGGATTATTGCTTTACAGGTACACTTGATATAGCACAACAGGATGTCTGCATTTATATGGTATGAGTTCCAAATCCCACATTGCAAAGACACTACAGAAGTTATTGCATTTTAATTTTATTAATGTTGGAATGTCTGTGCAGAAAACTCTAGGGGCCTTTGTAAGAAAAGCAAATGCAAGCAGCTCAAGGCTAAACTGGATGACTAAACTGGCGTCCCAGAGAAATCAGACAGGATAGGGCTTACTACTGAAACCTAATAAAAATGTGCTAGTCGAGACTTCTTTTGCACCTCTCTTCAAATAAAAACGTTCCACATCACTTTCTGTTTTCCTGCATTAGTCTGATCCTGTTCCCAATTAAGTCAATGGCAAAACTTCCATTGACTCTAGTGGTGCTGGATTTGGGCCTTTTAGATCACAAACAGGTTTTGCATTGTCCCTGAGAACATTTTTTTAAAAAACCAGGGGGATGATAGAGAACTTGGGAGGAGCAAGGCTAACAGGTAACTTTTCGAGCAGTAAATGTATATTTTGTGTCCACTTTTCAATTTTTGGGCACATAGAAGTGCTGTTCTTAGTTCCCATGTGAATTTTGACTCCCTAGCTTTGACTCCCACATTTCACATCTTCAGTTTTTAAAATGAACTTCCATGTCTGTCCAGTGTATTGTCTCCTGACTTGACTATTGTAGGTTCTTCTGCCCTGATCTTCCTCCCTCTCTCCCCTCAAGTCCATTCAGAACACTTCTGTTAAGATTATTTTACTGCCTGTCATTCTTAGTCTTCTCCCGCAATTTGAAGTTCCTCCATTGACATCCCTTTCTCTACTGGGTCAAAATACGAGCTTGTGATTCTTGCCTTGGAAGCCCAACTTCTATCAACTTGTATCTTATCATTTTGCCTCCTGCCCTCCATCAACAGTACCAGCCTCCACCACTCTTTCTGTCTGCTTCTCCAACAGTATTTTCAGTCTTTGTTTCATGCCTTAAGGTGACTGGGGAAGAATGTTCTATAACTACTCTTGTCTCCTCAAGACCTACTTCTACTGTGATGCCTTTAGAGGAAATTACCAACATGTAATGATTAGGTATGGGGCCATTATAGAATGCTGACATTTATCTTATTTATTTGCCCTCTGTAAACACACATTCTTGTTACTATTCTCCTTTTCTCCTTCCTCATGCCCTCTGTTTTTTGTTTGCTACACGCACTTGTTGCACCTTCTCTAAATCAGATTGCAGGGTGTTTGGGGCATCTTTTATATGGTGGGAGCTTCCAGGTGTCACTGTAATATAAATTATCATAATAAGATATGGTTGAAGGAGGGAGGGAGTGAAAAGAAATTCTCTAGCCTTAAGATACTCAGTTTATGGCTTTCAAGCCACATGTAGCTCTTCAGGGACTTTTATGCAGTACTTGTGGATTCTACCTATCTTATTGACCTAATCTGTCTGGACTCAAGCAAAACCACCATCGCATCAATTACAAGAACGGTCCTAATATTGCCTGATGTACCTGGTGTGTAAATAATGGGGACTGTTGAGCACAACCAGTCATGCAGTGTGGGATCTGCTGGGATCCATTTTCCAGCCACCCATCTCACCCGTAATATGGGAGAGTGGAATTTGCACCTGAGTAGAGTTGGAGAGAGAAAGTAGAGGAGAAGAGGGTTGAATGATGTTGTTAATCATGTAGTTCAGTGGTTCTCAAACTTCTTTTTTCGTGGACCACTTGAAAATTGCTGAGGGTCTCGGTGGACCACTTAATGATCTTTCCAAATGTTGCTTGTACCATTAGCTAACTGGTGTAAAGCACTTTGAGTAAAAGCGCTGTATAAAAAATCCCTTAATAATTAATGGTTTTTTGGTATACAAATAAAAGCACACAACTCATATTTTAATATCAGTAGTCTTACCTTTGTGATGTGATGGATGTGCCCTCCCCTGCTGCAGTAGCCCCCGAGCTGGGGCTGGGAAGGAGGGAGAATTTCTCCCTCTCTCCCAAGCTGGGGCTGAAGGGGGGTGTCTCTCCCTCTCTTCCCCCGCCGCAGCAGCCACAGAGCTGAGACTGAGAAGGAGGGCCGACTCTCCCCAGCAGCCACAGACGTGGAGCTGGGGAAAGTTACCTCTTTCTCTGGCCACCACAGCCCTGCACGTCCCAAATTCCCCTCACCCGCTCTTCTCACACCACTGCCCCCTTCCACCTACTCCCTATTCCCCCCAAGGCCACCACCTCACCTTACATGTGCGTTTTCTCCAGGGTCCAGGCACTTAATTAGTGGAGCCACGCCTGCTCTGCAAGTTCCGCAAAGTGTTGTGCCAGTACTTAAAAAGAGTAAATGGGACAACCCAGGTAATTACAGAGCTGTCAGTCTGACACTGATCCCAGGCAAGATAATGAAGCAGCTGATAAGAGACTTGAGTAATAAAGAATTAAAATAGGGTAATGTAATTAATGCCAATCAACCAGGGTTTATGGAAAAATAGATCCTGCCAAAGTAACAGTATTGGGTTTTGATGAGCTAATAATGTTTGATGTAATATACTTAGATTTCGGTAGGGCGTTTGACTTGTTACTGCAAAATTGTTTATAAAACTAGAACAATACAAAATTAACATGGCACACATTAAATAGATTGAAAACTGGTTAACTGACAGGTCTCAAAATGTACTTGTAAATAGGGAATCATCAATGAGCAGGTGTGTTTCTAGTGGCATCCAGCAGGGTTTGGTTCTTGGCCCTACATTATTTAACATTTTTATCAATGACCTGCAGGAAAACCTAAAATCATTATGATAAAGTTTGCAGATGACCCAAAGATTGGGGGAATAATAAATACTGAAGGGGACAGGTTATTGATAGTGATCTGGATCACCTGGTAAGCTGGGCATGAGCAAACCGTTTGTTACAAAAATTTGATAATGGGCTCTTAAATCTAGCAGACAGAGGTATAACAAGATCTGGCTAGAAGCTGAAACTAGACAAAATCAGACTGAAATAAAATATAAATTTTAACAGAGAGGGTAGTTCACCTTGAATCAATTCACCAAGGATTATGGTGGAGTCTCTATCATTGGCAATTTTTCAATCAAGATTGAATGTTTTTCTAAAAAATATGCTCTAGTTTAAACAGGAATCAATTCAGGGAATTCTGTGGCCTGTATTATGTAGGAGGCCAGACTACATGATCACAGTGGTGCCTTTGGGCCTTATAATCTATGATCTAAAGCCCACTGAAGTCAAACTTTAGATAAGAGCTGTTTGTCTTGGCCTTTATATTTACCAGAGCTGTTGAATGATTGACTGCTGCTGAAATATGAGTACTTCAGTCTTCATTTAAGTACATTTTTAATGTAAGATAAAATTATATACCTCTTACAGGCTAATTTTTTAAATTATACTTGATTGGATTGGGTAGGCCGATAGCCCTCCTTGTCAGTTAATATACACTGTACATAAACTATGTAAGCAGGCACCATCTCTTAGTAGTGTCCTGGCATCTAGGCATTACCTCAATACAAATAAAAATGATTAGCATGTGGTTAAAAAAATAGTGGTACTTGAGTAAATTTACCTGGTAACAGAGAATAATACTTACATTAAAGTGTTATAATGGGGTTACAACCCTTTCCCCTACCCTCGTAGACACATAAAGTGGAATGTTCTGGTCTGTGTAGCTCAGAAATACAAGTTAGATTGACCACATGTTGAATGAGCCTTTAGTTTGATTTAAGACCTGATCTGTGCTATAATCAGTTTATAAGAAAGAAAACGTCATCACACCACAATCAAAACCACATCTTTTTATATTACAGCTCTAAATGGCTGACTCTTTAAGTTGGTATAAAATATACCAGGAAGCATATTGCAGGACTGGAATTTAGTCAGGGCTTAAATAGAGTGTGCTAAATTGAGAGAGCAGCACAGTTAAATCTTAAGAATTTTCTTGTAAAATATGATAGTGCCTCCTTCAGTTTGCCTGTTAATATTTTAAATTGTTTGCCATTTTTCAAAGACGGGGATTTTTAATACCTCTTAATTTTAGTACGTTTTTAATTCTGTATTTGGTTCAGGTATAAAAAGTCTTTCTTGTGGCATCCTATTAAACATGAGAGATAATTATCATGACCTGATGTTGATATATAAATATCCTCATAATTAAATAATATGACAAATTTGCCTCTTTATAAACTGACTGTTTTTTTTAATCTGGATTTTATACTGGTGATTTCATAGGTATTACTCTTAATTCAGTGGCAAATATAATCGGCACTTTCTGAAGCAGGCTTTCCTTTAGAACTTTAATGAAATGCAGTGCTGCATTTTTCCTTTTGTTTATAGTTAATTAGTAAGATTTTTTTTTCTTATTCAGGTGAACTTTACTATTAACTTGTATATTTAATTGCTGATTTTCAGAAGATGGGTTTTCGCTTCAAGAAAAAAATCTGTGGGATTGCTTTTCATTTTCGGTATATTATAGGCAGATGCTAGGGAAAGATGTAGAAAAGTTTGCTACAGTATTAGAAGAGGCTATGATTAGACATATGGCGAGAGTTTAGTAGGTCTGCACTGGAGCAGATGTACTGTAGAAGAAATTTTAACTTCAGTTTATTGGTGTCAACTAATACCGGAGAAAGAGATATGGATGAAACTAGAAAAATCAAAACGTAAAGTAAGATTAATTCAGTAAATCCTCATGGCTCGCCAGAAATGGAAAAAATGTGTAATCTAGGTGTCAAGTAGCTTGAGCATAGCTCCAGTTGAAGGACATGATTAGCTTGCACAGCTGTGAAATCTAGCAGTCAGCTTGCTGTGGAGGAGAATGCTAATGTAGCAGTATGTCCTTCTCTTCATGCACGTATGATTCTAATTAATGTTAATAAGAACGATGTGCATGCACCTATATGGAAGAATAGCCTCTTTCAGCACAAGTGCGGGGTTATTTTCCTTTACACTCAACCAGTCCTGCACTTTTCATGTTAGCTTTACAGTCTTTTATTTCCCACTTGCAGGTACAACTGTAGCTGCACTGAAGCTGTTTAAGAATCTTCCTGTAAGAAAACAGTTTTACTCAACAGTTAAAAAATGTAAGGAGGAATTTAAAAAAATCCAAGATCTTTTGATGGCGTATGGCATCATAAAGCCAGAACTACGGATAATCTTTACACATAACAAGGTAAAAGTGACTTTTCTTGTGCCAACTATCTCAAATTCAAAATGAAAGAAAATAAAGACTATAATAATTTTGTTCAGTTCATCAAGACTTTCGTTACTGTGACTGCATTTTGTCATCAGATGTTTGATTTTTAGGAATTTGCTATAATTGCAGGTTGGTTCAGACCCCCCCTCCATCATTGCATCTGAGTTTATTAGCTTACGATGGATCGAGTTTTAGATAGGCAGTGCCAATCTTTCAAAGAAGTCTGTGCTCCCACAAAAACCTAATTTGGTATATATAGGTTAGACAATGCTATGATTTATTGGGCACTGATAACACGCTTGTTATTGTACAGAACAAAGAGGCAGAGCCATACCTCCACCTTTCTCTAATGGTCTGATCGGTTGCTAGTTGAAGTCAGAGGAGAGGTTCCCACTGAATTTACTGGGCATTGAAACAGGCCATGTAGGTAGTGCTACTTGCGTGTACTGTTTTGTCTCCGAGGGCTGAATTATAACAGATCACTGCAGGAGAGACTTGAAATATGGCCTATCAGGCCAGACAGGTACCTGTGTAATTGCATTGACTATAATACATTTAAGTCTGATTTACATCAATTTAAGGAAAGCAAAATCAGGCCCAAATATGACTAAGCTAGTGCTCATTTTATGCCCAGACTTGACGGCACAAATTCAAAAGCTACTTGGACCTTAATATTATATGAATAAGTTTTTATTAATCATGGGAAGTCTAACAGAAGTATTAACTACAAATCTGCAGAAATGGTATTTTGGACCTGATTCTACTCTCAGTTATACTAGTTTAACCCCACAGACTTTATTGGAGCTGCTACTGATTTACACTGGCATAAGTGAGAGGAAAATTAGGCCCATAAATTTCCATGCTGCCACAGAAAGTAAAGAGTGACACCTAATGGCCAAAAAGGTTCCACTAAAGCGATTCTTTTTCCATTTTTTAAAAAAAATTCTCTCTATGGTGGTTGAATAATTTCTTATCTTGCAATCTGAAAGTTAAAACATTATTTCAATTCATTGCACCATTTATTTCAATTTTTTATTTCTATCACTTCGAATATTTTTTAAAAAATCTTTCATGTTCACACTGGTCAGTGGAAATGACAAGTGATCTTACGTATTTGACAATAAAATACTGAATAAATAATAACTAAAAGTATAGGTATTCCATAAATGCAATTTAGTGTAAATCTTTCATTGTGATCAGTGATAGTTCTGCTATGGATTGCAGGTAGTATAAAATCTCAAACTTATACCCAGGTAGGGTTGCCAACTTTATATTTGCAGAAAACTGAACATCCTTGCCCGGCCCCTGACCCGCCCCTTCCCTGAGGCTATGCCCTGTGTCCAGCCCCTTCTATGAGGCCACGCCCCATCTCACTCCATCCCCCCTCCCTCCGTTGCTCGCTCTCCCCTACCCTTGCTCACTCGCTCATTTTCACCAGGCTGGAGCAGGGGTTGGGGTGTAGGAAGGGGTGAGGACACCGGCTGGGGGTGCAGGATCTCGGGTGGGGCCAGGGTTGTGGGGTCTCGGCTACAGGAGGGGTTGGGGGGTGGGGCCAAGGCAGTTGGAATGTGGGAGGGGACTCCGGGCTGGGGCAGGGGGTTGGGGTATGGGAGGGAGTATGGGCTCTGAGCTGGGGGTGCGGGCTCTGGAGTGGGGCCAGAAATGAGGGTTTCAGGATATGGGAGCAGGCTCCGGGCTGGGGCAGGGGGTTCCTGGCCAGTGGCCTCTGTGGAACTGGCACTTGGGGCGGGCAAGCGCGCAGAGTTCTCATTGCCACTCCTGCACCTAGGAGCCAGAGGGACATGCCATCCGCTTCAGGGAGCCACGCGGAGATGAGCAGGCAGCCTGCCTGCCCCGCTGCAGGTGGCCAAATGGACTTTTAACAGCCTGGTCAGCTGTGTTGACCGGAGCCACCAGGGTCCCTTTTCGATGGGGTGTTCCAGTTGAAAACCTGGCAATCCTATGCCTGGGTCCACAGACCTTAAAGGAAAATTGTATTCAGCTGTCTCTAAAAAAACAACTTTGATGACATTGATTTAGAGCAATAATAACTATGCCTAGTTGAAACAATTAAACTGTCCAATTTCTTGGCACTCTAATAGTTGTGAAAAAGAATGAAAAATAAGCTGCAAACACTTACTGAACTCAAGGCTTTAGAATTATGTGCTGAATGACCTCAGGTATTCAGAGTAAGAGACATGTAGCACATTTGTCATTTTAAAACATACCTTGTTTGCTGTAAGTTCTTGACCCTCTATTCTTGCTGTGGATCACAGTCAGCTTCTTAGTGGGACCTACTCCCCACATGCTCTTTGCTTCAGATTAAAAACTACTTTGGTACGACAAACAATAAAAGTATTGCTGAAGTTCTAAAGACAGAACATTGAGAGTGATAGAACACATGGAGTATCTTTCTAGGATAGGGCTTCATGGGGTGCTTTTATCCTCTGTGTCTATTTTAGTCACATTCTGATTTAGTTGCTGGTTATTATGTGTCTTGATTCTTTTTCTGCCTTCTGTTTTTCTCCTCAAATTATGCCATGTTTTTCTCCATTGTGTTTTAATGCAAAGTCTGTTATCCTCACCGATACCTTGATCAAGAATCTCTTTCTTGTACTCCTCTGTAATTCTGCGTACTGAAGCAGACAGTGTCTCTGGACTTTAGTCCTCCTCCTTCCCCCTAACCCCCAACACATTAATTGTACTGTTGTCTCTTCTGTTTTTCCCCTCTGCTTCCCTCTGCTACTGAAATTGCAACCATCATAGAAAACTGCCCAACACAGAAGCTTGTCATGAGGGCACAATACATTTGTTTTCATTTAATTTTATTCTTTTTAAACAATATTGTGCCTTTATAAAATGTTTTTATTTTTCTCTCTCACCTCTCAGCATCACTATAATATCTTCATTTTAAACGTTATTTTAAAGAGATATCAAATAAACACCTTTTTAAACAAACTGCAATATTGTTTAACCAAAAGAAGACTTTTGTTCCTGAGCTGGCTCTTTGGCTGCAGTGATATCTCCAGCACAAAGTTTTCTCTTTGAGTGGGAGCTGACTATTTCTACTATGTCTTGGAATCTCTCACTTTAACAAACAAAAAAAAATTTTAAATACCAGCAGTCCTGAATGCTTCTCCTATCTGGTGACTTATGGGAGATGGGTGGTTCTTGTGAATAATTCCAAAATTGTTTGGTTTCTTTAACAATACTTGAAAAGTTGTTCTGCTCTGAAAACTGAGTGTAAAAATGGAATGGTGGGTTCCATGTTGTTGCTCATTGTTTTCTACATCAGATGTGCTCAGTTGACAAGTAAAAAGATTGTCTTTTTCTTGCTGCCAGCCGTGCAAAAGCATCCTGTGTTTTAAGAGTCCAGTTCAGTTTTTTCCATTTGGTGCATCATACCAGCAATGGAGATTCTGCAAGCCTCATTTAAACCTCTGCAACTCTTCATATTATGTTTTCAAGAGCACTTGTGCATTCACACTAACCTGCAGTGGATTTTTATAGATGTAAATGATTTGACCTTCCTAACCAGTTTTTTTGCTGATGGACAAGAAAGAACAGAATCCAACTCTCAGTCTCAGCTTGATGTCTCTGTAGAGCTCATGGGATTAAAATGCAGTCATGTCAGTAGGTGCATTTATGAGTTCACCCAGAAAACAACTCTGTTGGGAAAGAAGATGCCATTTTTGCATAGTCTGTTTTTAGAGTAGAACTGCAGTTAAAAGCTTGGGAAAATTTAGGGGAAAAAAATTCCTTCAGTAATATTAAAACGGGCAGAGGATAGTAGCAAAGAGAGGGACAGATAGTTCAGTTTGCTGAGAAATGCTAGGATCCTGTAGGTAAAGAATCAGGTAGGGGAATAGTTAACATTGGCGTTTTCATGGGTTCCTACATTTCTACCTTATATACTATATAATTTGAATAATAATATATCTGATTTTCCTTCAAACCCAATCTTTTTAGAATACTGCATTGTTAATGTGGATTAAAACGATTCCCTGTCATTATGAAACAAGGAAACTTAAAGGATAAGATTGTTCAGTTGATTGGTAATCGTTCAGGATAATGGAACTATTGACAAAAGCGGTAGGGACCAAAAGGCCTTCTGGTATGGTGGGCGCTTGGTGCTTATTTCAAATGGAAATCTCAGTCCATTTCCATGTGAGCAAGTTTCTCTATCAAGATATCAACCATTCTGGCAGTTTTGGGAAAGATACCAACACTGAATTATCTTGGCCTCTCATGAAGAATGAATTATTTTCTCATCTTCAGAGGTAATTACTCTATAACAGGAGTCAAGCACAGTATTCGGGGCAATATAGAACAATAACCTAGTATTGCTCCTACTTACATGCTGTATTTGCTTTGAGGCTAAAGATAGGACATTGTTTTTTAGGGCTGTTCATCTTCACAAGCACTTGATTAATATAAAAATAAAGAAAAATCAAGCAACCCAGAGATTTTCTAACACAAGAGGTCACTCATTAGCTATAGCTGAGCTGGGAAAACCATAAGCCAACTAAGGTTTGGCACAAACCAATGAGTTCTCGGATTGTTTTAAAACTATTAATGTGTTAAAATGGTCTGGGTATGGATTCATTTTCGTTGCTCAGTTTTTATTACTGTTAAGATCTGTTTGAAGATATAAACTTCAATAGTTTGATAAATAGATTTAATTGCTTTCTAGTTTTTATAAGTACTTCAACATTCTTTACTTAAATTCTAACTTTTAATTTCTTTCATCAATTCTACATACTTACCCTTTAACAGCAATAGCACTGTTAAATAGTACCTTATTTGGCTTCTTTCTTCAGAAGCTGAAGAACACCATTATCGCAAAGCCGTAGTAATCCAGACCAACAGATCAGTCTATCTCATTCTGATCCTACTGTGTGCTGGAAATGTGCTCTATCGTAGTATTTTCCAAGTATTTTGTGGTAAGCTTGGGATAACAACATTTCTCATGGAGT